AATATCAAGTTTTTTGTTGCCGTTATAAAATGTGATTAAAATATTTTTTATTATTCTCTAAATATTAAGAACTTAGATAGTTTCGCAATGTTTGCTTAGCCGTATTTTTATCTGTGTGGGTGTTATGAGCACACATACGTATCCAAATATGGTCCATCATAATTTGGGTTTAACCAACCACAAGCTGAAAACCAACAATTTGAAAAACAGGAATCGATAACCACACTCAAATTATTCTTAACCATAACAAGGTATTCCGCCTATACAGACAATTTAAATTTTAATCATGTATTGATTATCCCAAAATAGATATTTATCTACCCACATCGCCCCCAAACTCAGTAACGATCGTAGTTTATGATGTGTTCACTAATTTTAAGTTTTTTGATTATCAAAAAATTTTAACAATTAACATTCTAATGATGTTGATGATTCTAAAATTAATTAGAGCTAAATCTAGAAAACGGATGTCATCAAGAGGACTAATTCGGAGTAAAAATTTGTTGGACGTTTCTATTTAGTTATTTGGTGTGCATCCAAGAAGAACACAGAGCAATATTTCGGGTTTGTGTTTTATTTATGTCACATAAAACTTTTTTTATATATAATGCTTGTACTAATGTGTATTTTATTTTCCCGCGGAAGTAATTCGTTCCAGTTGGCCAACGCGACGGACAGAAATATTTTGCAGCATCTCCAACAGTCCTATCATAATGATTCACATACATAGATTTATATTCCTGTTCACACAATACTATAAATTACGAGTGTCAGTTGGGAACGCGATGATTTGCTAGTGCTATCATTACCATTAACGAGAACCATCCTTGGTAAAACATCCGCAAAGCATCGTCTAATAAGTCGTGTACGGCCAAAATAGCTAGCGCAAATGTTCTATTGCCAAGGAATGTGCGGAAATCTGTGTCATGTAGGCGCATGGTGTCACAAGACGGAACAATTACCACAATGCATCAACCCTCTATCAACATGAATAGATGTACAAGAAGATAAATAAAGAAATAGAATTTTTTATATCAAAACATAAGACAAGTAAAACCAAGTATATTTAGATAAATATTCACATTTCGTGCTTTAGTACAATTAACGTTGGTTTGGATGAAAATGATGGGCTGGGATATTTCACAATTAATGTTAACTGACAAGATAAATTTCTTTTCATATTTATTGTTATTATTTATCGTCTAATAATTTATTTCACTTTTTGGTAATATTCTATAGTTTTATATATATTACAAGAGAATTATATATCAACAGGTACCATGCAACAGTTAGGGAAAAAGTGCACAGGCCATTTACGCATCGGGTCAACAATCCTATTATGCAAATGTAGTCGTTTACCGTTGACCTTGTAGTCGATCGAATCGGAAGAAAACAGCAGGCAATAATTCGCAACAACAAGCGTGAGTCCACGGCAAACGTCCGTGTTAAAGATCGTTGCGCGATTAGGGCGAACAGCACGCGTTGCTACCACTAATTTCACGGTCTCCAAATTATTTAATTTAAAAATAAGCCATCGCTAGTCACGCACGTATATACGACACATTCTCCCAGCGCAATTCAAAAAGTCCTCTGTATTATTACGACTTGGAAAATTAACGGGGGAATTCTTTCAGACCTCGTCGAGTCTTTAAATAATTAATACTTTTGTTTTCTATATCACTGTTATAATAACATTTATGCTATGCTTTTACTTAATTCCTTGCCATATAGGAATTTAAAATATTCACTTATTTCTGATGAGTTTAACGATCGAATCGTGGAATCATAATCTACTTTTTTGTGTCTTTGTGACACCTATTGATTTTTCAGATCAGAGTCATTTCCGAAGTTGGTAACCAGCAAAGCCATAATTATTACGTCTGAACCATTTTTAATTTTTTTTCTGACAATAATTATATTTTGATTGATTGATTTTGAATTAAAAAATTACTTTTTTATAACTATTATTTTATTTAATTCACGTCGCCAGCCTTCTTAAAGGAGAAAAGTCCATTTATCTCCCGTTATTCAATGCCAACATGTATTTTACAGCACAGTAAGCAGGAGATTAAACCAGCGAAACCCGCATCTTATGAATTTTAAACCAAAACTGGCTTCGGCGCCACGAACCCATATAATAAGAAATTATTGGGACGTGAAATGCTGCTACCGCTAACCTTGACTTCATAAACGTTTAAAAACAGTTATAAACATATTAAGTTATTCCATAAATGAAATCAGTTCCTTGAATTTTTACTTGGAATCAAATTCAATGTTTTGAATGTATCACGACGCAACATAGCAAAGAAAAATGACACAAAAATATTAACTGTTGAATGCTATACGTGCAAACAACAAACAGTTGGCACACAGTCAAAATAAAACAATTTCAATTAATGACACGGGAAAAAATTGTATGATAAAATTCGTATTAAAGTAGTAATAATAAAATACTTTAAAAATATAAGGTTCTGTTACATTTAATCTCAAGTTATAAAATCAATATAGTTTCCTGGAAACACAGAAATAACGCTGACCTAAAGGTGAGTTCGCTACAGCACCGCAAACCATGCAGCAATTTATCTTAAATAATCAATCGTAAATTTCTCTATTCTCGAGTAATTTCATTTTGGTCACGATACAATTACACGAAATTGTTCGTGGGGTCTAAACACGAAAAAACTAGTCTAAAAAGAATATTCAGGTAATAATTTTATAAAATTATTGTTAAAAACATAAACATAGAACTGAAAAATTAATATTATTTAATTACATTAAATTATTTTCTAATGTAAATGACTCGTTGAGGTTTCATCTCTCAACCATAAACAAATTGGTACCCTTTGCAAATGCTTTTACTTCAGAAACATTGAATATAATTAAATATTTGAACACTTCAGTTAAAGGTTTCAAGTTGAAACGAACTGTGAAGCCCTAGTAATGACTTTTAGAAGTTCAAAGGTCTAACAAATTACAGGAAGGTATAGCAGTTGACACTGGAAACGTGAAATGCTAAGCAAACTACTACAGTTACATTAAAAAGAAACATACTACTTTGCGTCATTTGTACCAACAAAGGAACGGTAGTTAAGAAGCCGAAGTGCGTTACCGACAAGTTTTTCCTGTTGGTACGCGTTTAAACGCATGCACGTTTATGACATTAACCGTCCCCAAAGACATATCTAATTGCTCACAAACGATTTTACGGAGCCGTGGATGTGCACTCTCCTTTAAGATCGTTTACGGCTCTCGGGAGACATCGCGAGCAAGTCACGATCGTGCCGAAAATATAAATTCACCTTTCAGGACTTTTCCATAAAAATATTTTACCACGCGGTTTCCGAGATGATATTTGCATACCACTGGTTGGAACGTAAATAACTACGACCGCAAATATTTCGCAGGTGAAATTCTAGGGCACTTTTTTGAATAAAACTGCAAACGTACAAGGTGATTTAAAAGTTGATTGTAAAATTGAAATTCCAGGTACAAATGTCAAGTTTATTAAATAGAACACCTGTTAGATACATTATATACTCTTAATATTACAATATATACCCCAATTACGTTTTATCGTTTAAAAAAAATAATTAATTCTTTCAATTTACCATAATTTAATTATTGTTCAATTTATATTTGAATTTATTATCTAATATTGGGTTCCCTTTGTTAATCACGATAAATTGTAATTCATCGCGTAATTCAATTTTTTCCATTATGCGTAAATTGCCACGATAAACCAATTGCAACGCAGCCGAGGTGTACAAAAAAAGCGTTACATTACTCGGCAGAGCAAAACGATTCAATACTGGTAAATAATGATTCGTGCGGATAAATTTCGAAATAACGGAGAGTTCTGCCGGTACGGCCAAAGTTCACTTATGTAACATTTCACCAAAAGCATTAATCTAATAGGTTACCTCATCAGAAAATGTCGGAATCGAGCGAAGACTTTCACGAGATATATGGTATGCATCGATATCGTGAAGGTTAACATGCAACAGAAACCACAAGTAATCTGCTTTTACCAATAATTGAAATTTATCGTGGTGTATACTTAGATGAGATGCCAAATTTCCCAGTCTATATATCAAAATTACATAAATACAAAAAAATAATGAAAGCATAGAAGTGGAAATTCAGTTATTTGCAATTATATATCATCGTGTTTAAAACCTGGACTGAAAGAGTCAACTCCACATACATAGAAAATATTCAATTTTTTCGGAAACTGCAAAACAGAAGTATTTATATATTTCACGAGAAAATATTTTTAAAGGCAACGAAATCATGGAAACTATGTTGTGAGAAAACAGCAAAAATGAGTTTCAGTTAGTTTCTTTTATTGTTAAAGGTACGAATTACCGCCAAATTTTAGAACAGATATTGTGTGAGCAGATATAGGGGCCTAAAAGCATTCCGCTTTTAACAAACAAACCTATATAAAAAGACGCGGTTTAGCTAGCGTTGCAAAAAGCTGGCGCGGATCCAGATTTTTTTCTAATGAACGGATGTACACACACGTATCCCATAAGCTATAGTCGCCCACAACAAGGAAAACGTTACGGTAGGTTAGTCACACTTTAGATCGCGCCATCGAACGCCCTCTTTCCGCATAAAAAAAGCTCCGAATGCGATATCGATGCAAAGACGGTTTCGCAATTTCAATTAGCAGGAACAATGGGCGTACAGAAACGATAGTGGCACCAATATGCGCCACTACTTCTAAAATTAAAATGGAACGTTCTCGTTTGTTTGAACCTGGACTACGGTTGTCCTCGGTCAGTTGGCAATTGTAATTTAATTGAATTTATTGCGCTGCCGCGGCGCAGCCCCTGCCGATAAATCCAGCCTTTGGGACGTGCCCTACGATCAGATCCGCCAGTTAGCGATGATATAAGATGCGGTATGGCGACGAATGCATTGACGCGACACTGCCATTTGGCGGAATACGTGCCAAAAGTACGCGACAAAAAACAAGGACACCTGTTGGCACTCACCTTAGCGAAGTCTATCTTCAATGTACAGCACCCGGAGTATATGTCGGCCCCATTTAGTGTGTCTTTCGCTCGAATTGCTGCTTCCACACTGTCAAACGTACGTAATCATTAAGGAAACTAGTTGGGTTGAAACTTGGTAAATTCAAAATTGAACCGTGCATCAGTAATAAAAATTAGGAGAAGAAATAAGCTTTCTTCTCCCAAGCTTTAAGCATGATATTGTTAAATACCAAATTTTGAAAAATTGTAATAAACGACATGTATAATGACTATAATGTAGCATTAACCTGCCGTTAGTTATTGATTTAAAAGTATTGATTGTATGCAAACAGTTAAGTAAAAGTAATTGCATTAAAAGGATATTCCACCATAGCTTGGACGCCGTTCTTTTTGAATATGACGATTCGCAAAACTTGCCCACTGGATTGGCAAATAGTGTGAAGAACATCCTGTAACAAAAACAAATTAAAGAATTAATAACGTATATTTGTTTTATTTTCTTAGATTATTGATATCTTCATAAAATCGGGTCATTCCTTTTAAATAACCTTGTTTGTCACATACTTCATAAATATAACTACATACTAGTACAGATTAGTTTATAATCCTAACAAAAGTTGCAAACAAAGTTTTCTCTCTCGTACGCTGCTACAAAGTTAACATCTCCTTTGCTTTGATCTATACCACGCACAGACAATGAACAGGAACAAAAGGCTTCTCGTTTCTAACGTGAAGCCATGTTTCAATTAGCGTTTACAAGAACGTACGTCAACCTCGATAGACAAGTTGTACTGGGTAAACAACGTCGCGTCAACGACGTATTACTAATAGAAAGTTTATTTTGGTCCCGTGATGTATTACGGCAATTTTGAACTGGTATTTATAATGAATCAATCTATGCTTCACCTGCGCAGAATTAGGGCCAAATTTATTTGATAATGTTTGAAAGTGAGTTTGGGAGTTTTCTCAAACACGTCACTAATGAGAATCTTGCATCCTGGATTCTTAGTATGAAAATGTCGATTACGATAGTGTAAAATCATAAATATTTAGTTTTGAGGCTTGTGTAGTTTATATAGTACATTTTTGTTAAGCATAGAGCGATTTATATTTTATAATAGAAATCAAAATATTTATTATTAGAACGGGTGTAACATTGTTTCGAAAGTTATTTTTTTATAGTGAAACATCGAACAGTTTGTTATTAGAGGTATAACATGCTGATATAAGCTGAATGTATGAAAACATGAGAGACGCTATTCTAAACCCCTCCAAAAATATGTTTTCTTGGTAGATTGTAAGAATCGAATGGAGAAATGCGACTTTCATACGAATTCCATCCAAACAAATATTACACAATCCCCAAGGAACTCGAAAAGGAAGGTCGGTTATATCCCTCTTCATTCGTCACTATCTCTTTTGGAGGTTAAACATTCCCTCAACGTATTTAGCCACGACAAATAGCAACGTTTTCTGACAGGGCATCTTTGGGATTAAATTTTACATAAACGAACGAACGATATGTTTCACATGGCGGGCTCCGTAAACTAATATCAGTGTCAGGTTGCATGCATGTTTCATATTTAAGCCCCAGCATAAATTTCATGCATATATCGCGCTGGTGTAACTACTTGCTCTATATTTCCGAAATGTCACCACTTCCAAACGAATTCAAGCAACAACTTGAACTTAATGTACAGTACGATCCATAAATGTATGGAGTTACGGAAGAAGGTGTAATTAGGTACATGTTAGCTAACTAACAACTACATGGCGACACTTAAAAAATACGGCACGTTTTTAGTCACGCTATTTTATCGTTATTAACATATGAGAGCGGCAACATGATTGATACAATATGTTTTGAAACACCGTCTTTATGTTGAAATTAGGTAGGTAACATAAGATAACATGGATTCAATCAAGGATATTGTGAAAGATGTGACACATAACACAAACTTGAGTGATATCTAAAATAGACATTCGAAAACATTAAATTTGAAATCTGTACCTCGACTCGGTCGGATCTGTTAGAAACAGGTGTCATGCGCTAAAAGCATGATTTGACATGACACAACCACACATCCTAAACATAAATATCCATACAGACCACAATCCATGTTCAAATGTATAGTAAGAGCGGCCGTGATGTATCACGTCATGTCGTAGTGTGACCGATTCACAAACTACGCGAGCTACAAAAATATTTTTCTTCCTTGATATCGAGCCGAAACTATTTATAGTAACCCTGTTTTAATAAGAATTACATTTCAACACTAAACGTTTTTTAAGAGACTAATAAGTTAGTGACAAAAATACAAATCGATAAAATCAATTAAGAAAACTAAAATACCACTTAACTTGATACACTATCAAGTATCGAAACAAATTTTATAATTTTTGTAGATAAAAATTTTAAGAAATATGCTTCGTCACTTGTTAATTAACGTTCTTAAATCAACGATAACGATCCGGTAACGCGCAAAACTTCAAATTATTAAAACAGGGAGTGCCATTAATCTGCATGATAACTGCGTAAAATTGAGGGCGATAAATAAGAGTGTCCTAAAAAAACGAACTCGAGATCGTGCGACGGATATTTCTGTGTGAGCACTAATTAAGCAAGGTAATTTATAAGCTGGAAAATCGGTGGTGTAATTTCATATAGCCTACTCGTTTAACTGAATTACCACAAGACGGTAACCGTGATGGTAATTAAAATTAGCCAATCTCTGATTAGTCTAAGTGACATAATTAACTTTCGAGGAGGTGTCGGATTACCAACGGCGTTAAGTTATATTTACCACGGAATTACATGGTGATGTGCCCGTGCTCATCTATTTTCAACGTACCAAGAAGACTGCGCATGTTGTTACATTTTCAATTCAAACTTTATAGAAACTGTCAAGAGGTTAACTTGTTACTTTGAAGCTCATGTCTTAATAGATTAACGTTTCCTAATGTTTTAATTTCCCGTCGAAATTTTTATTTTGTTTTAAAAAATATACAATATCCAATTAAAAAAATAGCCACAACATTCCATTACGAATAAAAATCAATAAAATATCGGGGATCGTTTCCTTATAAGTACCAACATATATCCAAAAGGCAATTTCCAAGAACATGTTCTATGGAAGCTTTACGATAAAGGTTTCTGGAGATATACTTAACCTGCTCATCGTCTTCGAGCACCCCAACGCTTTAATAAAACTTCCGACGTATGATATTTCAAATCAAAATCCTTGAGATATTGGCGTTCAAAAAGAAAAAAACGACATCACATAAAAACTAAAAATAAATTTTTGTAAATTAATCAAACAACTGCAATAAATATCAATAAATAAAAACAACAGCAAAAAAAAAGTAATCTAGGACAACCACACCTACTTTTGACCCACCTTTTCGCTTTTAGATCACCTTATTACCACCAACAATCAGTAAAGACCATATCATACAATTATAAAATTTTATTTAATACGAACATAAAAGCTCCACCACGTTCAAGTGAAACGTCTTGTAATTAGGCGCATAAATCTTCGTAATGCTACTACATCAAGGTACGATAATGTGTAGGTCCGTTATCAATTACTTGTCTTAATGTAATGAAGGTGTCGCAGTAAATATAGCACCAGTTACACCTGACACCATTTTACTTAGCATTGCACTCTTACAAAACTACATGCTTGAGTATTTACGGCTAACGTAGCTGTCCGCGGGAGCCCAACCTCGTATATTGCTTTCATGGACATTAAAGTGCCTCGTGTATTTACCTTGAACATTTAACAAGCGTTTTTGTTGATGTACATGCAATGGATTTCAATTTCATTTCATTTCTTGTTACACGCGTTACTTCAAACGCAAGAAGCCATAATGCTAATGAAACCTATGCATGTCGACGAAAACAATTATTCATTTTTGTACTAGAAATATGAAAATAAATTTAATTTTCACCATCAAAATAAAAGAGATATATTTTTTACTATAAAAAAACTTTTGCTCTTTTTGGAATCCCTTGAGTTTGCAATAAATTCGAGACAATAGCAGGTATTAGTGAGACTATTTCTACAAAGCCGGGGGTTGCGAGTCTCATTTAAAATAAACACTGGTTGGTTGTTAGAGTTAACGAACGGGAGGTAGTTGTAACATAAAAAGTCAAAGTAGCGACGAGCAATTATAGCCGGGAAAATCGTTTCAAGAAAATTATACTGCAACCAGTCAGGAAAAGGTGTGTAATTCGATTTAATCACGGATCGCGTACAATAACATAAATTCCTCGTCCGCTTGTGATTCAGTCAGAACAAACCCGATTTGTACTTAGGGTAATTGGGTCAAATTAAAATTACAATTCTATAAAATAGACTACAACACGTATAAAATAATGTTAGTCCTTTATGAAATTTCGATGGAATTCATTTTAATTACAGCTATTTGAAAATCGTCGAAACTTTATTAGTTTTCGTTGAATATGATCGCAATTATTACATTCGCGGTCAAATAATTTAAATTGAAAAGGTAAAATAAATTATTATGAATGTGTGGGAAAACAAGTAAGCATAACATAAACCGCAACATATTGCACATTTCAGCATAAATTTATAATTTCAAAATCCACTTATTTGTATATATATATTTTCTATATATAATTATAAATTTAATAACATTAAATAGTTACATAAATATTTACAATAATATTTACAACTGAAATTTGTACTAAAATAAACACTCTTCGTACGGATTAGTACCTCCTTTGTTCTAGAAAAATCTTGTCTACTTGTGTGCAACATCGTTGGGCGTCTTATTCGAGAAAAATAAGGCCCCTCAAAAGCAAAGCACGTACACGTAACACCTTTCTCGTACTTGGACAACCGTATTTCTCTTAAATAACCTTAAAGCTCAATGAAAAGAAAACATCCAAGGAGGAAGAATCCCGTCAAGCAATAGTATCATTTTTCTTCTTCCCGTTTCGGTTCTGTATCCATATAGGTCGCAGGCGTAAAAACAACATGGTGCGATTATATAACCGTGCAGCGCGGCTTCTAGGTCCTTTTCAAAAATACTGTTCTATGACCAATACGACCAGACTGCAACGGCACGACCCTTGATGAATTAGTTATGACGCTTTTCATGGTCGTTCCATTAAAGGTTTCTATAGAGAAACTCTAGCGAGTGTTTGTGACGGCGAACCATTAAGAAAAAGAACGACATTTGAAAACCTTTAAGTATTACGTACGAATTGCGAATGTTAATTACCGATGGTTGCAGTATTTCAATTTATATGTATATTTCAAAAGGTAAATCGATAAGCTGAAAAATTATTTTAAAATAAAATATGAAAATACTAAAATTTGCATTAACAGAATTCAATGGCGGTTTTCATTTGGTTCAAAAATAATGGAAGAAATGAAAATACCCAAAATACGAAGATGGCAATACATGGAACTGCAAACATTGAAACTCAGACCACGTAGCTATTTAGTACTTCCATTGCGGTTTGAAAAATACTTTGATTTGAAAACTTATTGTTACGAATACATTTGTAACCTCAAATAAACACAACTGTGAGTACAAAATGAAATTATCAACTCTGAACGGCACGTTTATGCGACATATGAGAGGAGTTTAAAAGACTTCTTGGATAGTTTAAATTAAGCGATTCTACTTAATGGGGTTCTAGTTGCGACATTCTTAATACCGAACGGATGGATTTGTAAATGACTTGGAAAAGGGCAATCATCTTCATTTGCTATCTGCTTTATCTATAAGATGCAACAAGATGGCAGCAATAGAATCATCTTCAAATAAACTGGTATTATAAAATAGAATCGTTTCTTTGTTAACACGTAGTTGGTACTAACACTAACCAAATAAAACGATTTATAAATTACCAAATATTTCTTAATATCCGTTACGATATTTTCCATTAGTAATCAGAAAATCGTAATTAACCGGTTGATTTTCATGCTTTCGATTTTTGTCATAGCCGAGCGATCTACTAACATTCATGAGTCACCGTAAATTCGCACGATGTGGTATTTGAAAAGGTTAAGGTTTCGTTATTAGAACTATAATCGCCTCATTTCTGTACAACACGATTAAAAGATAAATAGTAACTTGCATAGCTTTTAAAATATGTGACAACTTGTTTTGGGATTATATCTAATCCTTATACTCGCCGTTATAATTTATTTAAGTTATCCTTTAAAGTTATTTAATTGATTTTCTTATTTTTAAAGAGATTACTTACCACAGTAATGGGATACATTGGATTGATGATAGTAAATAGTAACACATGATTTGGCTTAGATTCTTCTTGTCGTTTCCTACGAGGTTCTTCTGTTGCATAATTACTGGTATGAACCTAAAACAAAAATATATATTAAGTATATAAAAAAAAATTCTTACGGAAAAGGGACAATAATTAAATACTTGTATGTAAACATGTTTGCAATGCAAACTATTTTAAGATCAAGTAACCCCTAATAAAACTCACACAGCCGCTAATCGAGTTGCGGTTTACTCACGTCAGGTTTAATTACTAACTCTACCTTTTTAGCTACTTACGTAAGACTCATTCATCGATAACTTCTTGAATGATGTGAGATGTACTACTTTATTCACTTTTTAGAAAAGTAATAATGTTGAGAGAAATTTTATTAATATCAAAAATTTTAAAAAATGGTTATGTCGCCAAGGTATTTAAGTAAATAAATCAAGAATTCTCAACAATGATAAATGATCCGGTTAAAGTCGACCAATTATCGTTAAACCAGCATAACAACACCTGCGAGGAACTTTTAAGAAACATCAAACTTCTTTAGAATGCATCAACTGTCACAGGGAACGTCTAAAGTTGTTGCCACTGGACAAGGTTGATCCTTGCAAAAGCTCGCAAGCGAAAAGTAATTTTCTGGTCATTAAAGTGACTAATTGCATCTCGAATATGCAAAGGTCCGCCGGGCTATATATAACACTCTAATTTAGTCGCAGTGATTGACAGCCACGTGATCGAGCCGTACCTTTGCGCTTAAAACACTAAAAATGCATCTAAAATTAGATCAAAATGTTACCCGAACGTTTTACTTTACAAGTCTGGCCAGCCCAGGGATACAGTTGCATTAGATAAACATCGAAAAATAAACACTTAAAGAAATTAAATAAAGTTAGAACATTACATAATTTTATCCAGTGTGTTATCACAATTTTAAATTACATGAAAACTGTATTACTTTAATTTAAAATTAGTTGCATCACAGCTCAATATCAAAAAAACATTTCACTTAGCGATAAACAAATCAATATTTTCTAGCGAACATAATTGCTCGTAAGCACATTTATTCTCTGATTGCAGTCTACAAATACAGATTTATCAAGTTCGAATATTTTATGGCATCTCAAGTGTTATATCAATAAAGTTATCGGCATTATGATAGGTATTCCTGGTACGATAACTACTCACCGACAATAACATAATATAATATCGGAGAAATGAGGTCGAATAATCTGAGATTATAGCAGATAAAAAACGAATCAATTTCGTTCCGGTTCCTTAATTAATATTTATTGTATGAATATTAATTATTAATCGCAATTAAGATCCCACTTAGTAAAAAGAAAAGTAATACACGGTCAACGTGATACAGTTGCTGCATTCACCGGGTGACCTTTTACTTACTTTCACAACCAGGCGTTACCAGTTCGTATTTCTTTGTTGTACCTACAATAAACCAGCTTCTTTTTCGCTCTTTTTTATAATCCTCGGATATTGGATGACTGGCCAATCATGATGCCATCGTGGATTCTTTTTAACTACTCAACCGTAAAAATCCGTGGGAACCAGAAGCAAGAATTTAATTTTAATAACTTCAATAAATTAAACGTATTTAACATTCATTTAATTACCATCTATTAAATAGAGATCTGTGATATCAATATTAATGCGTTTCCATCTATACATTAATTTCCGATAACACATTTCACTATCTATAGCAATTTGTTTCGTTAGACACTATATATTTTAAAAGCTAACTTTTGTTTTCTCAACAGATTTAACACCAAAACCAAATGGATTATTTAATTTCACCCAGATCCAATAAACTTGAAGGTAAGTATTAACATTAAATTTGGATTGATGCCAATTTGTGTTCAAGTCTGGTTTGCTACCGCGTGAATGAGTCATTTTGATTTTTAGGATTGCACGCATAAATTCTTCAAATGAATAAACTTCTCAATTATAGATTTTTTTGTGAAAGTAATAAAATTATAAAAAAGTATAACATTGAACTAGACATAACATATAAAGAAATCTGTACTTATATATATAGTTTCACGAATGAATAATTCAGATAAAACTTATAAATTCTTACTTCTTGCATGTGCTTCATGCAAAGCGTGGGTTCAAATACCTCTATAATTAGTTATAAAACACGTTGTAATTTACATTTATAAAACCATTAATGAGGAATTTTTAGATACTATTGGTATTTATGTTTTCTATTATCAAATCTCTTCAAGAAACACTTAATTAAACAGGATCTAGTTAATGTACAGGTTGAATCAGAAGTTTCTATTTCATAATAATAATTTTCTTTGATCGTTTGAGGCAAGCTTTGACTCGTACACCAAGATCAGTCACTGTACCAGACGAAGCTGGTACAGTACAGCCGAAAATACCGGTTTTTGCGCAAAAGGTACCACCAGTTAAAAATGTTTAAAAACCAGTTAAATAAATGTAGAAGTGGGGTGAAAGATTCACTTGTAACAACTTGTTACATTAATTGTACAGCAGGTACAATGCGATCTCGCACATCAGGATCACAACGTTTCAACATTCCAACTATTCAAGCTATAGCTACAACTGTTGTGTCAAAGCTTTGAACTTACAATCCCTAGGTTGCGTTCACAACGCTTACTCGATTCACCCAGGTTTAACCCTAGTCGTTCATAATGACATCCATGTGGACAACATATATAATAATGGATGTCATTATGAACGACTAGGGTTAAACCTGGGTGAATCGAGTAAGCGTTGTGAACGCAACCCTATAATTGTTGCTATCCGAAGGCAAAACAGGAAATGATTCAAGAATTAAGTCGAAAGTGTAGATGGTCAAATGACTTGGAGAATAAGGAACGGCAACGCTTCAAAGCGCAAGAGATCTGAAGGTTTAAAGAATAATTGTGCCGAAAGAAGACATAAGTAGAAAAAAAGTGATGAAGAAGGACATCAAATAAAGAGGGCAATTATATAAAGTGCTCGAAAGAACTTAAATGATTACAACTTAAAAAAACAAAAATAATGGATGTGGTTGGTTAGATAAGCCATCTTGTTACTTTACTATAAAGTAAATGTAAAATTATTGAACGAGGGCAAAAAGAAATTTGTTTATTACGGGAATTTATACTTGATTGAAACATTTCCCAAATACTGGCACTGGCGTTCTATCAATACATCTTCTTTATACACCTGAACATCATTTATGCCATTTTGATAGTAAAATATGCCACAAAATAGATTTGATAAGCCGGAGTTACTTACCAGGAGCAACCACTACCACCAACGGATGTCCAGAAAAATGTATCGTTATAAGAATAACATCAATAGAGAGGATGGTATGAAGCTTAGCAGAACCACTCCAAGCCGAACATGGAAAAACGTTTTAAAAAATTATAATGAATTAATTTCTCGAAAACCAAACGAATTGAAGATATGAACTATACAGAAATGTCCACAAAACTCGGGTCAAGAATAACTCCATTGTATTATTCATGCCCGCAGACTTTCATTCATTGCAATCTTTTCATACTCGTACAAAGTTTTCACGCTGTTGACGAGCTTAAACTCGTTCATTACGGTCTTAACAAGTCCTCGCTTTTCTAATTCTCAACCACTACGATCACTGTTTCAGTAAATTAAAGGGATTACTTTTCATTAAGCCCAGGACTTCCCACTTTGATGAATGTATCCATTTAGATGTGCTGATTTGGACTCGGATAATATTTCAGTTTTCAACACAAGCGTCGTCACCTATAATTCCGGTTGAACTTAAAGTTATAGATGGATTAATTTTCAGGCACACATAAACGTCAATTTCAAATCTACTTAAATCAACATTTTAAATTTTAAGAAAACTTCGTCGATATATACAACATTAGAAAAGAAATAAATCACAAAGGTATTTGAAATAAAGTTCAAAGTAAAATCAAGGTAAACTTCAACGCAAAAATAACTAACCCCAATTTGAAATAATAACAAACATATATTATGACAACGTTCCCAGTTTTTGAATGATTATTTGTATTCAGTAATAGCCTCTACAGAAGATTTTAAAATTTTATTTGATACATTCTTCCTTTTTATGTGAAAATCATTCCCGTCGCATAATAAACTTTGGCGTCGAAGCATTCTTATTCTTTAATGAATCTTAAATAAACTACAAAAAAAAATTAATTATAAAAGCAGTTTTTATTTTATTTATTTATGTTTTTATAGAAATCCATTATATGTATATTTCATTTCAAATAAACATCGCATATAACTCAATGATCTTTAGCATGGTACAAGATATGTAGTTAAAAAAACGATAAGGACTTAGCACGAAATTTGGCTAAGAGCCAAAATTACACATGCAGGTACTTCACGATGTTACGAAACATCGAAACGCACTGTTTACGTTTTAGAAAAATAAATTTAGTTGCTAATTTTGAAAACCATTTATCGCACTTTTTAATACACTTTTTTAAACTTGATGGCATTCGTGTTAAAAATAGAAAATCACAACCTGACGTGAAGTGCATTGCATTCTTGTTAGCCTTGATAGGTCATTGCCTAGAAAACAAACTCTGTATGCAAAGGCAAAGACTACAGAGTTAATTTACTTACTTCCACATCTCCGCAGATGAAGATGTAACTCCTCTAATAGATGTTTTAAAAGAAGAACGGAGCGAAAATAGCGGGATTATTAAACATTTTTGTATGGAAAGTATCGATATTATTGGGAAGATGTGGCAACTCTTGATATTTAAACTCAAAGATCGATATTCACTAGCTGTCAAAACACCGGCTGTTTTTGTATTAACTTTTAAATTATCAACTTGGAATATATCGTAAACAAAACTTTCTAACACTTGTCACGCATTATAGGTTAAAACTAACGTACCCCACATCATTTTAACAACGAACGATAACCAGTCACATTAAAAAGTAATTGATAATTCATCAAAATAAGCAGGAGATAATACAAAACAGTGATTGGAAAAGAACACCCGGCAGTGACACTTAAGATACCGTCCTCATAAACGGATTTTTTTAATTTTCGGAAACTTCGAACGTTTTTGTAACGCTAACAGGAATACTTACTCTGTTATTAGATGAGTCCACATCCGTTCTCTGTCGTTTATTCAGCGGTCCGTCTCCATTGAACGCCATTTTGATATAACCGAGCATACGAAATTCAACCTACCGCTACAACGGCACGCGCAGCACTGTCAATTTTTTCAGCGTCGGCCGATGCGATGCGATGCTCGCCTGTTGTCCCACTCTGACAACGGAAGACAACGCCATCTCTCGGTTATCACGGAAACTGATATTGAATGCAGTTTTCGTTCGAAAATTTTATTTAAATAAAATCAATAATTCACCACCTGCTACTGAATCTACTAAAATCAAGATATTAGAAATCTATTATTGCTATGATACATTTAGAAATAATTTTTTATTTGCTACTCTGCCCTGAAAATTTAAGTTGGCTACACAAATTTCTAATGAACAGTCTTAATTTATTATAATTAAAATAATAAACACATTCCAATTGCTTGGAATTTTATATTGATTTGATGTAAAATTAATATATATTTAATCTCATTTTAATTTATCTTATTTTTATTTTAAATTTGATATTTCAATGGCACCAACACCAAAAAAATTTAAAAGAAATATAACTTCATTTGATTTAAACTCTAACTTGTTAGTTTTGTAATATTTATTGAAGTTATTATGTTAGATGAAGATTCCATGGTGTTGGCAGAATGTCATGGGATAGTTTTTAAAGTTTCAAACGTTGGAAGTTATGCTTAAAGTGAAACAAATATACTGCATTAGTTTTGATAACCACAGTCAACGAATGTTGGGTTAAGTCTAGTTAAGGAGTGTTGGGTAAGATTATGAACATTGTATAATGTCATGGATCAGTTATGTTTACTAAAGTTAACAACCTTCAAGTAAGAAATGTTAGGAAAGGTTAATTTTTTATAATGTTGGGTAGGGTTGAGGAACAAGATTAGTCAAAATGATTACTCAAATGTCCAGGTTAACAATTTTCGAAAGGTGGCAACACCTTTATTAATTTAACATGAAAATACTAACATTTTTTTGTGATAAACACTGGCTATTTAATTGACCTTTTCTGTTCTTAGAATTATCGGATCTTTACCAGACAAAACCGCAGTATTACCTGCAAATTGCATGTGATATTTAGTGGAAGAATGAGGAAAGACCTTGAAATTCTTTAACAATAAACAAAGAGCAACTTTAGTTTGCATTACACCAAATCTCAGACCTACAAAAAATAAATAATTTATATATAAATCTTTATTTTTACGTTTAAATTACCAATACAAATCCTTGGACCTTCTCCAAATGGTAAATATGAATACGGGACAATATTATGCTTATTTTCGTCTGAAAATCTTTCTGGGTCGAATTTTTCAGGATTTGGGAAATACTCTTTATCTTTGTGCATTCCCAAAACGCTTATCAAAACTTTTGTTCCTTTTTCAACAAGAACTCCGTTTGGAAGAGTACAATTTTGTGTACAGCGCCTTGGAAGTGTATGTACTGGGGGATATTTTCGTAAAGTCTCGTTAATTACTTGCTCTAAATATTTCATTTCTGTAATTCCATCATAAGTAATTTTACCATTATTTTCCTTTATTTTTGTTCGAATTTCCTCTCGTAATTTATCTTGTATGTTTTGATGACATGCTAATTCGTATAAACAAAACGATGCGGTGGTTGAAGATGTTTCAAATCCAGCTGCGAAAAATACAAATGCTTGCGCGGCGATTTCTTCGGTAGTCATTGGCGCTTTTCCTTCTGCTTTGGCAGAATCTTGCATGTTTATTAAAATTTGCATGAAATCATTCCTGGTGATATTTTCTGTTCGTCGACAGTTGATCATATCGTTTACAACACCCATAAAAAAATCCGTTACATCTGGTTCGAGTATATGTAATTGCAATAATTTTACAATACTAGGTGGAAGATTAAAAAGTCTTCTTAAAGTAAATTTTATATTTGGCGTTAAAACTTTTTTCCCATAACTTCTAAATTCAGCGTTTGGATTTGTAAAGCTATTACAGTCTAATCCGAAAGCACAAGAACCAATTACGTCAGTGGTATAACACGCCACGGTATCTTTAATATCTAAGGGTTTTCCATTTTCGGTGCATTCAAAAACAAATTTTTCAAGTTGCTCGCCGCAGTCTAACATAGTTTGAAACATCATCTTCATTTTTCCAGATGTAAAAGTTGGAGTGAGTTTCACTCTCATATCACGCCATCTTTTTCCTTCTAAATTGAATAAGTGGGCCAATAACGGTTCCTCCTTTTCGTCGATATTGCTACCGTGGCTGTTGAAGCTTTGAAATTGTTTGTTTACGACCGTTTTAACAGCATCTGGGTGAGCTAGTAATAACATTGGAGTTGTCCCCGCATAAAAACCACCATATTGGATACGCATAGATTTAAATGTTTCGTACATTCGTACCATTTTTTCGATGCCTTTTCCATCGAATGGATTACCAAGATTTCCAAAGGGAATTTTTGGTTTTATTGTTACTATTCCCTTTTTTTCCCAGTATTGATACGATTTTTTATAATACAAGTATAGCAACAAAATTATTGTTGGAATTACAAACCAAAAAATTTCCATCACTAAAAACTTCTTAACACAAATAATTTATTAATTTCACCTCAGCGTCTAAACGTCGATCTTTACTTAACGTAGTCTTCGTTATCGCAGAGGTTATTATTCCAATAATGATAACAATAAAATTGCGTTATGATTGCGATAAAAATATATTTATATGTTTTCAATTAGATAACAATTGATTCACTCTATGGTGACATTCGGTTAATTTCTAAGGAGAAATTGCTCAGTCTAAATGACACTTCACTTTCTGAACAGCCCGTTCGCTGTTTATAAAGTGTTTACTGTTATTTGTAATTATGATAGTGCGCAAATTGTATCTTAACTTGCATGAAATTTTAATGTATCCATCTTTGGGCTAAAAGCTGTGTACTGAGCATATTTTCTTATACCTCTGTAATCAATACTAAAATTGGATGTTCGAAGTAATAACCCTACACGAGTTATTACTACTTCACCAGCTCTCACACAGATAGTCAAAAAAATAATAACACCTTTTTCACATAATCAAAATCACTATCAGCTAGTTGGTTTATTAAAAATAAAAACATGTATCGCAAGTCACGATTACAAGTTGATCATTAGACAAACAACAATGACCTCGGCGTAAACCACGCTACGTTAAATACAGATCAACGTTCAGAGGCTGAGCAGTGTTATTAAGACATTGACCGTGTAAAGAACAACAACTTAATCCGTTAAACTTTTAGTGATGGGGATTCTTTGGTTTGTAATCCCAACAATAATATTATTGTTGTATACGTACTATAAAAAATCATTTCAATATTGGGAAAAAAAAGGAATAGCAACAATAAAACCTAAAATACCCTTTGGAAATGTTGGTAACCCATTCGATGGCAAAGGAATTGAAAGAATGGTGCGTATGTACGAAACATTTAAATCTATGGGGGTCCAATATGGTGGTTTTTACGCGGGAGCGTCACCAATGTTGTTATTAATTCATCCAGACGCAGTTAAAACGATTGTAAATAAGGATTTTCAAAGTTTCAACAGTCACGGTAACGTTTTCGACGAAAAGGAAGAACCGTTATTGGGCCACTTATTCAATTTAGAAGGAAAAAGATGGCGTGATATGAGAGTGAAACTAACGCCAACTTTTACTTCTGGAAAAATGAAGATGATGTTTCAAACGATGTTAGATTGCGGCGTGCAACTTGAAAAGTTTGTTCTTGAATGCAACGCAAGTGGAAAACCGTTAGATATTAAAGATACCGTGGCGTGTTACACCACTGACGTCATTGGTTCATGTGCTTTTGGATTGGAGTGTAATAGCTTCACTAATCCTAACGCTGAATTTAGAAATTACGGGAGAAAAATTTTTACACCAAGTATAAAATTTACTTTAAGAAGACTTTTAAATCTTCCACCTCGTATCATAAAATTGTTACATTTACGTGTACTTAATCAAGATTTGTCTGATTTTTTCATCGGCGTGGTAAACGACACCATCAATTATAGACGGACACAAAACATCACAAGAAATGATTTCATGCAAATTTTAATGAACATGCAAGACTCCGCAAAAGCAGAAGGAAAAGCAGCGATGACCACGGAAGAAATTGCTGCACAAGCATTTGTTTTTTTCTTAGCTGGGTTTGAAACATCATCAACCACCGCATCATTTTGTTTATACGAATTAGCCCATGATCAAGATATACAAGATAAATTACGCGAGGAAATTCGTTCGAAAATAAAAGAAAATGGCGGTAAAATCACTTATGATGGAATCATGGAAATGAAATATTTAGACCAAGTTGTTAACGAGGCTTTACGAAAATATCCACCAGTCCATGTCCTTCCAAGACGATGTACCGAAAATTGCGTTCTCCCAAACGGAGCTCTTATTGAAAAAGGCACAAAAGTTTTCGTAAGCGTTTTAGGAATGCAGAGAGATGAGGAATATTTTCCAAATCCTGAAAAATTCGATCCAGATAGATTTTCCGAAAAAAATAAGCATAAAATTATTCCTTACACATATTTACCGTTTGGGGAAGGCCCAAGAATTTGTATTGGTAAGTTTGATCCCAATATAAAGTTTTTTTACTAATTTATATTATTTTAGGTTTAAGATTTGGAGTGATGCAAACAAAACTTGCTATGTGTTTATTATTAAAAAATTTCAAGTTGTTTCCTCATTCTTCCGTTAAATATCCCTTGCAGTTTGATAGTAATTCTGTGGTTTTATCTGGAAAAGACCCTATTATTCTTACAACCGAAAAAGTTAATTGATAACCATCACTAATCACAGAAGTCGAAATTGGTTCCCATGGACTCTGGACTGGTAACAAAAGTGATAGAAATAATAAAAACTTTGTTATTAATACTCTTTATTTATTAGAAAATAAACTAAAAAAAATTATTTTTTTCGTAATTCATTCAACAGCACTTCTTCACATTTCTTAATATCTTCACGTAACTTCTCATTATCACACTCCAACTTAATTTTCTTCTTAGGTTGTTCAGTATAAACATTCTGTTCATTACTATCATCGATTTCTATACAAATCTGACTTCCTGTCGTTTCAATTAACTTGTCTGTACATGCTTCAGGTTCACTTTCATTCACATTGCCTTCATTGCTTGTTTTGCTAAGTTCTTTTTTTAATAATTTTGCTTTAAACATCAAATCTATTTTGGTAGTATCTTTCTTAGGACGTCCGACTTTTCTTTTTGGAGGTTGTTTCTGCGGACGATTCGTAAACGTCCTATCAGATGGTTGAATTCCGGACATAATTGCCGGCCATTTAAATAAACTTTTTAACCGAAAAGCAAATTCTTCCTGTTCCGAAACAATTAAATTCCGAACGATAGGGTCACAAAGATTAATTTGGGCATTTAAAGAATTTTTAATCATATTTTTAGCAACGGTAAAACTCGTAGCATTCATTGTTTGCGTCAATTTAGATTTACATCTTTCATAATTTAATAATAAACCTCGCATACCAACCAACGTGTTTAAATTAGGCGGTAAAATCATAGAGTCAAAATGTTTAAATTCAACTTTAATCACTTTCTTTTGAGGGCCGTTCAATTCTTGCGAATGTTGAGCGTAAACGTTTTGAAATACGTTTGTTAATATTTGTTTATCTAATGAATCTAAATTTGAAATCGAGTTTAATTCTGTTTGGGAGGGTACAACTAAAACCGCGCGCATTATCGCTAATAAAGATTTCACTGTAGCGCAAATTGTCGTGATGTTTGAGCCGGGAATTTCTTTAGCTGTTCTTAATCTGTGGGTACTTTGAAAATATTGAATTAACTCATCATCGACCATTGAATTTACGTAACGAACTTTAGCTTTTCTTCCTGGTTTTACACCATTTGTTCTTATTTTTTCCGTTATTTCTTTTAAAGTTGGGATTGTTGTACTTGTTTTGTACATATCCGCTATTTTTCGGATTAATGTAGTGTTTAGAGTTGATTTTTTAGTTTCATCTTTTCTAGGAATATTCTCGATTGTTTTATTTTTATTGCTTTCTAACCATTTATTTAAGTGATGGTATCTGTGTCTAAAATGAGCAGCATTTCTTGTAGGAACTTCTTCAACAAGGAGTTGCCACTTTTTGGGTCCATGACATTTTACATGTTGCATTATTGCGTTATCTTCTAATAAAGACCAACTTCCGGTTTTCATAACTGAGTAATTTAAATAACTAGTGTATCTATATGACAATTGTATTTTACTCCTATATGGGATATATTCACAAATGGTATTATAATTAGCCCCAAATTTCCGTACTAAAATCAATAAAAGGATGTCTTCCTCCAGGGAAAAGGGACCCCGTTTTTGGCATTTGGTTTTGTTTAAATAAACGGTATATCGGTTATATAATTGTTTTTTAAGTCTATTTGAAAAATGTTCAGCAACTTTCGTCCAAGGGATATAATTACCAATACGATATGCGTTTACAGCCCTAATTAATTGCGTGTCTTCATCGACATCAAATCTACCTACATCAACTGAATTCATTAGCTTTTCACGAAATTGTATGCAAACTGTATACGCTGATCGATTTGTGCCCAATTCCTTTGCTATTGTATCCCAATCTTGGAATTCGTGTGCTTCAGCCAATTCATTTAATTTCTTGTTTTCAGAATCTGTCCATTTTGCACTTTTATTAATTGAAGGATGTAAGAACATATTCCACATTCCTTCACATCCGTATGATGAGTGCCTACCTAATTAATATTTATTTAATATCTTTACACATTCAAATTTTTCATAATTACCTGCTAAATCCTGAGTTGAAATTAGAAGCCAATCAATAATTCCATTCTTCAAATCAGGGACACTCACATTCTCATTCTGTTTCAATGTCTCAACTTCTTTCTTCAAATCATTAATTTTCTCCATAATTTTATTCACATCACAACCTTTGTATTCCTTTTTTACTCTTAATAAGTCAGATATTTTCTTATTAGTCTCTTTAATTTGATATTGATTATATTGAAAACATACGGCTCTTTTAAGTACAGTTTGATCTTGAACGGTCCATCTTCCTGAACTATTATTTAGATAATGATTTGTAATTTTGCGCCTTTTAGCATCTTCATTAAGAGTACAAGAATATTTCATGCCTGATTTATAAAAATATGGGTGGTGCATTCTATTTTTGGGTACACCTTTGTACAATTGTTTCTCTTCCCTTTTAACACGCGCCTCTTCGTTTAGTTTTGTTATATGCCCCAAGACTTCTTTGTAGGACATGTAAAGCTTGTACAAGATTGATTTTAAATTAATATTTTTTGCCCGATTTAAAACTAATAAATGTTTTAATTTTGGATTTTTACATGAATTGATTACATTGATTTCTTCGCTTGATAAATGAGGCTTAATTACATTAAAACTTTTGCTTATTTTGAGACAATCCACAGCAAGATATTCTTCTTCTGCTAAATGGAGTTTATCTTCCGATATATTCTCAATGGTTGTTAAAGACGAATCACTTTCGTATCCATCAGACTCCTATAAACAATTTTTAAATCATGTTTTAAAAACAATTAGTGTTAATTTTTACCTCATCTTCATCGCTGATGTTAAAGTTCAAATCAAAATCTTCTTGTACTTGTTCTTTTTCTTGCTCGAGGACAGCTTGTAATTTTCTAACATCTTCAATATTAGTATCCATCATTTCTTTATCTTCCGCAACCGACCCAGCCATTATATTTCTTTGCTGGAAATCAAGAACAAACTTTTCTACACTTTTCTAATCGACAAATCGTAAAAAGTGAGGTTAAATACGTTTGTTATGGGTAGTTTTCAAATTTAACCTTAAACTTATGCAACCCAAATAACACCGATGTGTGTCAAACGTCGTTTAGATTTTTGAGGTTAAAAATATGATAAAGTAATTTTATTGAAAATGAAAAAAAATTGTGGTTTATGTGATAATGAAGGAAAATATAAGTGTCCCGTTTGTGTTATTGAATAGTTGGTCTTTTTAATTAATCATCAAATTTTGTTATTTATACGAATAAATTTTAGTTGTTCCTTGAATTGCTTTAAACAACATAAAGAGAATCAATGTAATCCCCACACAAAAGTGATAGAAAATGGTGTACAAGAAGATAAAACTAATCTCAAAGAGAACGAATTTTTTACTCAAGATACTGTACCTGCAGAAAAACTTCAATTATTAGGCAAGTACAAGTTCTTTATAAGAATATATTACATATAACAACACAATTCTTTTAGGACATGATAAAAATGTGCAAGCGCTGCTTCAAAATAGACACTTAAGAGATTTTCTAAAAGAAATTGATCAATCTTCTAATCCTGAGCAGATCATGCAAAAAGCTATGATGGAACCAATTTTTGTTGAATTTGTTGATGCATGTTTATTAGTTGTTGATAATCCTAAACAATAGTTGTAGATATTTAGACTGTACACAATGAAATAAAAATATTCAATATCTCGAATTTTTGCTGTTCTATATCTTGCCACTCAATATTTATGTGTGATATATTAGCACTAATTGATATAAATAGCTTATATACAAAGTCTCCCAAGTGAAGACCAAGAATTAAAATATTAAATATTTCGAATTTTTGCTGCTCCATATCTTGCCACTCAATATTTATGTGTGATATATTAGCACTAATTGATATAAATAGATGATATACAAAATCTTCCAAGTGAAGATCAAGAATTAAAATCGTCTTAATATTGTTGGAAAATACAAAAAAATGTTTGTTTGTATAGGAAAGTTTAAGCCTTGAAAATTATGCTCACAATATTTACAGACCATAAAGTGTTATCAATAATATCTCATCAAATAAATAATTTTGTATTCATAAAGATACATCTGGTAATAGAGTTCAAAGTCTAAGGTGCAGCGATAAAAATTCCGTCTGATTAAGAACATCTCTAATAACTAGCTTAATATTTTTATATTATACAAGTCTCTTCTAATGATGTAATTTCTTTATGATAAACAGTTAAAATGTTAATAAATTAAAAGTTTATTGCAAATACTTTTAAATTTTTTCTTTATCAATGCTTGTCCCAAACGAAACGTTATCTAAAAAACGATTCGTTTTTTCATCTCGATGTCGTCCAGTTAAATGACATCAGTTTTCAAACGAAACATAGCTTAGTCGATTGAGTAGGCTTGACGAGTCTGGATTTTACCCAACTAATAAAACACCAGTATCATCATGTCGGTGCTAAATAATATAATCAAAATTAACAAATTATATTCGCGTAATTCAGGGGTTTTGAGAACGTATCTTAGATATTCTAGCTCTCAAAGTGAATTTTTAAGATCACCTTTTCCCGATCTTAATATTCCGGATGTTAATATTGTGGATTATGTTATGCAGGGTTTTGGGAGATGGCCCAATAAAATTGCTTTGGTAAGAAAAATATTTATTATGTATCTCTATATTATTAGAAGTATTGTATATTTTAGGAATGTGGTATAACAGGAAGAAAATATACATTCGACGATGTACGAATAAAATCAAACAAATTTGGAATGGCTTTGAAAGAAATTTTAAAACTTAAAAAAGGCGACGTTTTAGCTTTAGTTTTACCGAATGTCCCAGAATATGGGCTTTGCGTGTTTGGTGCTATGAAAATGGGAATTACTATAACAACAGTTAATCCAATATATACCCCAGGTAATCTTATTAATTCCAATTTATTACTTTTATCGAAATCATTTAAAAGTTTTTTAATATGTCTTTCTAGCTGAGGTTGAAAGACAATTTATTGATTCAGACACAAAAGCAGTGGTGACATTAGGAATGTTTATTCCACTTGTTAAAGCAGCCACAGCGAAAATTAATAAGAATATCCCTATAATTGCTATAAAAAGTGATGTGAGTTTTTAATTAAAATTGAAAGAAAAGTTGGTGTTTAATTTTTATTTTGTTAGCCAAATGAACAATTTCCTGAAGGAACGATTATATTTAATGATTTATTGGGGGCAAATGTTAATTGCAAAGAAGATCCAATTTTTGGGGATGAAATTGCGGTTATCCCTTATTCAAGCGGGACAACTGGTTTGCCAAAAGGAGTAGAATTAACCAATAACAATTTAGTAGCAAACGTTACTCAATATAATTACGACGCCGAACCAGGTAAATTAACACAAAGAAAAATCGCATTGTTAATTAATCATTTTTTCAGAAAGAGAACACGATATTTTACCAAGCGTTCTCCCGATGTTTCACATTTACGGTTTTACAAATCAAATTTTGGGATCTTTGCAGAAAGGAATCAAATTGGTTACTCTTCCGAAATTTACACCCGAACTTTATTTATCAACGATTGTAAAGCAAAAAGTAACAGCACTCATGCTGGTACCACCAATTGGTATTATTCAAAAACATTTTTATAAAAGTCCCTTTTTTTTTAATTAGGTTTAATGTTTTAGTTTTATTTTTAAATTCTCATCCAGCCGTTAAACGAGAGCATTTACAACATCTTCGATGCATCGTTTGTGGAGGGGCACCATTAAGTGCAAATGATGAAGCTAAATTTAAAGAAAAAGTGGGAAAAAATATACCAATATTGCAAGGTAAACAGTTAATAATAAATAATTTGAGTCTTACAGCTGGAAGAAAAAAATATCTAAGAAATTGAGAGTATTATTTCTTTTTATAACGCTTATTTATATTTAGCTTTACATTTCTTTGCTTAAATTAAAAAAAAAAACTTATCACAAATGGGGCCGTTACCCTCAATCGAATAGAAAGACCGTCTTTCAAAAAATCGATAAACTAAGTAAAAATGGAAGGATTGGCTAAAATAGTTTAATTTTTGCAATAATTAATATTAAAATTCAAAATCCCTTCTATAAAAGCTTTGGTGACGTTTACGATGTTTTCGCGTAAGATCAAGAAGACACAAACGTGCATCGTTCGGATCTCTTCTTCTAATAAGATTCTCGTGGCATCTCGCTCATGCACCTTTTATTGATTTTTATTTCAACCAACCGCGTGCGAAACGACGGTGACGTCACCAAAGTTTTTTTTTTCAAATTTTCACTATTCTTTTTTTGGAAAAACTAAAGCCCAGTTTGAAAAATAAAAAATTATAGAAGTCTTCAATTTTGCTAAACTATCGAATAAGTCAAAAAAGGTGTAACTTAGATGTTAAGTGTTATTTTTTTTTAGGTTATGGTCTCACAGAAACATCACCACTAGTTCTAACTGTTCCAGAAGGAAAAGAAAAAGATGGTGGAATGGGTTATGTTGTTAATAACACTATAGTAAAAGTGGTTTCAATAGATGATCCCGATTGTAAACATTTAAGTTCTAATAATGTTGGAGAATTACTTGTGAAAGGGCCCCAAGTAATGAAAGGGTACCATAATAAACCTAAAGAAACGGAAGAAGCATTTTGGAATGGTTTCTTAAGAACGGGAGATTTAGTTCGTTACGATGAAGATGGAATGTTTTATATTTGCGATAGAATTAAAGAATTGATTAAAGTGAAAGGTTTCCAAGTTCCTCCTGCAGAATTAGAGGAAGTTATTAGAAGATATCCCGGTGTTGGAGAAGCCGCTGTTATAGGAGTTCCGCACGAGAGATATGGAGAAGCACCTAAAGCTTATATAGTTCAGAAACAGGGAAGTAAAATTGATGTTGATAAATTGGTGGAGTTCGTTAACGCAAATGTGGCACCATATAAACAACTTTCTGGTGGAGTTTCCATTGTAGATAATATTCCCAAGAATCCATCCGGAAAAATATTGAGGAGACAATTAAAAATTTTATATGAAAAATAAAATATAATAAAAATTTTAATAAAATTACTTGCAATATTTATTAATATAGGCCACCTAATAAACAATAATGCTTGATGTTAAGGCTAACGATGAATTCAGGAAAACTTTGAGATATCGCGAAAAGTATTATTTTCAGTGTAAAATGGCGCTTTCCAAAGTAACAAGTGCTTTTTACAAAACTTTTGCAAAAAGATGTTTAAGTACTAAATCTGATTTCATTAAATCCTCTCTACCAGATGTGGATATTCCACGAATTAGTTTGGTTGAGTATGTTATGAAAGATTTTGGAAAGTGGGGAAATAAAGTAGCTGTGGTAAGTATTGTAAACAAATAAATAACTCCAGATGATCAAAAAAAAAAAAAAAAAAAACATTTTAGGAATGTGCAGAAACTGGAAATAAATATACTTATAATGATATTCAAACTAAATCCTTTCAATTAGCCAAATCGCTTAAAAATATAAAATTACAACAAAATGATGTGATAGCCTTAATTCTACCCAACATTCCTGAGTTTCCTATATCCATCTTAGGTTCAATGTTGGCAGGGTTAAGAATAACCACAGTTAATCCATCTTATACCTCAAGTAATTTAATCCTTTTTGTATCCAACAATATGTTATAACAAGAATATTTGTGTTTTTTAGCGGAAATTCAGCGACAACTTTTAGATGCTGATGCAAAAGCTATTATAACTTTTGGAAGTGTTGTTGAAAATATTCAAAATGCGGTCAAGACCACAACAAAGAGAACTATACCAATTATTACAATTAAGTCTTCAGTAAGTACAATAAGAGTAAGTCTAATCTATAAAAGTAAGTAATTTGTATACTTAGGCTAATGAGGCTTTACCAAACAATACCATATCATTTTCTGATTTATTAACTGGTGACACAAAAGGTTTTTCTGAAAATTTATTGGGTTTTGATGACATTGTAGTAATGCCTTATTCAAGTGGTACAACCGGTTTACCAAAAGGCGTTGAATTGACCAATATGAATTTGGTATCAAATATTACTCAATTTCTTTCGCCTGCATATGGATATTTAGAGGAAGCTAGTGGTAGGTACATTCATTATCCTTGCGTTACATTAATTATTAGGTTCATTTTAAAATTATAGAAACTCATCAGGATGTTCTTCCCGCCATTTTACCAATTTATCATATTTATGGATTCACTTTACAAACTTTAGCATTATTGATGAAAGGGTGCAAAATTGTTACATTATCAAAATTCACCCCAGAATTGTATTTAAAGTCCATTGTTAATCACAAAGCAAATATTTTAATGGTAGCACCTCCAGTTGGTAATTACAAGTAATAATAATAAGGAGATTTTATGAAACTTTCTTTTTAGTAATGTTCTTAAATTCTCATCCTTCTGTCAAAAAAGAACATCTTCAACATATACGTTCTATAATGTGTGGAGCTGCTCCATTAGGTGCCAGTGATGAGAATAAAATTCGTGATAAAGTCGGTCATAAATTAAGCATATATCAAGGTAGAATAAAATCATTATTAAGCTTAAATTATAGAGGTTAAAGAAAAAAAAAATTTAGGTTTAGGATTAACTGAAACTTCTCCTGCAATTATAATGATCCCAGCCCATCGTGAAGGTACAGTTCACGGAAGTATCGGCCACCCATTTCCTAACACAACTGTAAAAGTGGTTGCTTTAGAAGACAATAATTTAAAACATCTTGGACCAAATGAAACCGGTGAATTATTAGTTAAAGGTCCACAAGTTATGGCTGGATATCATAACAACCCCAAAGAAACTTCGGCAGCTTTTATTGATGGCTGGTTTCGCACCGGAGATATGGTTAAATACAATGAAGATGAAATGTTTTTTGTTGCTGATAGGATTAAAGAGTTAATAAAGGTGAAAGGGTATCAAGTTGCTCCAGCTGAGTTGGAAGAAACTATACGTAGTTTTGAAGGAGTTGCTGAAGCCGCTGTAATTGGTGTTCCGCATCCTAAATTTGGTGAAGCCCCGAGAGCGTATATTATGCCTAAACAAGGTGTGAAAATTGATTTGAAAAAATTAAATGATTATGTTAAAGCAAATTTGGCTTCGTATAAACAACTGGAAGGTGGAGCGGTGATCGTGGATATGATTCCGAAAAATCCATCAGGAAAAATTATGAGGAGGCAACTTAAGTTAAGATTTGAAGAAAATGGATTTTAAATAAACACATTTTTAAGTATTTTTGATATTATAATAAAAGCATCTTTTATACTCCTAACGTACTAAATAAACTGTGTAATTTAATACTCAATTCTTTATTTAAAACACATAAATATCAACTCATTAAAATTCACAATCGGGAATGATCGTGTGTATTTGTATTAGCGGATGACATTGAAGGCCTTATCAGCATTTGCGTTGTAGATCGAATAGTTGAGCGGACGGACTGGTTTTTATAAGTATGTATGTTTAACAGGTTTCTGGGTGTATAAGATTTTATAAGTATGATGCAAGTACAACGTGTAATTTTAAAGATAAGACGAACATCACGTGTGATTTATAGACTATGCTACAACGCGAGTGATAATTGTATGCGATCGGATTTTGAAAATATTGTCGTTCCAGACGATGTTAATTTCGTTGAATATTCGTGGAGAAATTTTAAATATTTTCCAAACCGTATAGCAACGGTAGGTGTTTTTGTTTTTTGTGATCGTATAGGCTTCGATATATCAAAATATATTAAATAATAATTTCATAAGTTGAGATAATCGTCATTTCTTTTCGAATATTCTTTTTTAATACATCCAGAGACGAAGGAGTGTTATTGGATACCCTTGATTTAAGATGGCCCCATAATAAGAAGAAATCTATTGGTAATAAGTCGCGGCTTTGTGTCGGCTAGTTTATATCTCCGCGTCTGTATATCAATTTTTCAAATGATAAGTACAAGATTAAACAAAGATAGGTTAAGACTGCCATATTGCTTTATAGCTAAAGTCACCTTAAGTTCTTCGGTTGGTCCCCAGTCTTCCTAATCCTCAGTATTGTTCGAATAATATGTTATTATTCAATTTATAATAAAATGTTTTAGGAATGCGCACAAACTGGTAGAAAATACACATTTGATGATTTACGCAAAAAATCAGAAAACTTAGCTTTTACTCTTCAAAATAATTTGAAACTTCAACGTGGTGACACAGTTGCGTTATTATTACCGAATGTCCCAGAGTACCCAATATGTATTTATGGTATGATTTTAAGTGGTTTACGAATGACCACTATAAACCCTACTTATACGGCTGGTAGATTTTACTTTTCTTCTAAATATTTTGTAATTTCTTTTAAATTTCGTGTATTTTTTAGAGGAGATTGCGCGTCAATTAGAAGATTCAGAATCTAAAGTAATTATAACGTTAAATGATTATTACAAAACCTGTATACAAGCTATTGATTTGATTAAAAAACGGTTGGATGTGTTTATAATAAAAACTTCAAATGGAGAATCAATTCCTGATAAGACTATAGATTTTCATGATTTCATTAATTGTAAGAATGAGTTTAAAGAACCTAATTTAAAGAATGAAGATGTTGTTTTTCTTCCGTACTCAAGTGGAACTACAGGTTTACCAAAAGGAGTTATGATTACAGCAAAGAATTTAATGTCAGTTATGTCCCAAGTAGATACAAATGATGTTAGATTTTATGTACCAACAACGGGTAATCAAGAGATATTTTCCATAATTTTTATACCTTACCTAGCATTTTTTTAGAAACTCATCAAGATGTTATTCCACAAATATTACCAATGTTTCACATATACGGATACGCTATATGTACGATTTCTACGTTACAAAGCGGAGTTAAACTAGTTACAATTCCAAAATTTGCTTCGGAATTTTATCTTGAATGTTTAGATAAGCATAAACCAACGATATTAGGGCTTGTTCCACCTTTAGTGTTGTTTCTACATTCTCATCCAGCGGTAAAACCAAAACATTTCGACAAGTTGCGTATTATAACAAGTGGAGCCGCTCCTTTAGGAAAATCGGATGAGGATAAATTTAGAGAAAAAGTTGGAAAACCGGTTAATATTATGCAAGGTTACGGATTAACTGAAACATCAGGACTTGCGTTGAGTACACCATCATCAAAAGAAGGAAAATATCCAGGAACAATGGGACATCCAATTCCAAATTGTACCGTTAAAGTTGTAAATCCCGAAGATAAAACTTTGAAACATTTAAATCCTAACGAAGTAGGAGAACTATTGATAAAAGGACCACAAGTTATGAAAAGTTATCATAAACGACCAGAAGAAAACAAAAACAGTTTCGTAAACGGTTGGTTTCGAACAGGTGATTTGGTTCGTTACGACGAAAATAAAATGTTTTATATCGTTGATCGCATAAAAGAACTTATTAAAGTTAAAGGATTACAAGTAGCCCCCGCTGAATTAGAGGAGGTTATAAGAGGTTTTCCGGATGTTGCTGAAGCAGGAGTTATTGGAATTCCTCACAAATTTTCCGGCGAAGTCCCGAGAGCTTATGTTGTTCCAAAAGTTGGTCGGAAAATTAATTTGATTGAATTAGAAGAGTATGTTCGAAAAAAAGTTGCTCCCCATAAAAAATTAGCTGGGGGTATTGCTGTAATTGATAGTATTCCAAAAACTGCTTCTGGAAAGATATTGAAAAAACAATTAGTGTTAAGATACCAAAAAGAACAAAAATAAAACTAATTCCTTTAATTATTAACAGTTAAAAAATAATTTAATGTAGTATATTTATAGTATTTTTATTCGCTTATTATCAGTATAATAAATATATAGGAGATATGAATTTATATGATAACGGAATTTCTAATTATAGGCAAAAAATGATCGTTGTTTGTAAATTTATTGGACGTCATTTATATATTTTGAAGATTATCATAGAACTTTTCCTTTTACGCATGTTTTAGAGATAGTTTACATTAAAATGATAATTTTATTCGTATTTTTTTTCACTTCCTTGCGATAAGAAATTTTATAAAGGTGGGGATAACATTTTCAAATATTAGTTCGTGGTAGTCGGCAATAACAGAGTTAGTTAACGTTCTAATTTAAATCGAACGCCATGTCGCTTGTAAAACGCGCGGTAACTAAAAACTCTCAATTTTTGTTTACGGTGTTATATAGAAGATTATATGGTGCCCAACATGATTATCTCACATCATCGTTACCAGATGTTGATATTCCTAGCACAAATTTCATCGAATACGCTTTAAAAGACTTTCATTTATTTCCAAATCACATTGCAACGGTAATAAATATGAGAATAAATCTGGGAGAGATTTTAATAATTGAGATTTTAGGAATGTGCAATCACCGGGAGAAAGTATACTTTCGATGATTTAAGAAAAAAGGCGGTAAATTTAAGTAAATCTTTAAAGAAATATTTAAAATTAGAACAACAAGATACCGTAGCGGTATTGTTACCAAATTTACCTGAGTATCCAATTTGTATGTATGGATTACCGATGGCTGGAATACAGATAACGACAATAAATCCAATGTACACAGCAGGTAATAAACGGTAAATATTATTAAATCGTCAATTTATTATGTATACACTTTATCTATTATAATTTTCAGAAGAGATTCAACGTCAGTTAACCGATTCTAACGCTAAAGCTATTGTTACATTAAATGAAAATTACACTACGGTCATTAAAGCATTTGAATTAATGCAAAAGAAGATTCCTATTATTATAATTAAGACAATAGTTGCAGAATCAATTCCTTCAGGAACTGTGGATTTTCATGAACTAGTAAATCACAAAGTAGAAGGCGTTGATACTAAACCGTTAGAAAATTCAGATACATTTTTTTTACCTTATTCAAGTGGAACTACAGGATTGCCGAAGGGAGTTATGCTTACTGGCAACAACATTATGGCTTGTTTTAGCCTAATGAACGCTCCAGAGGTTAAATTTTTTAGACATGCAATATTAGGTCAGCATTAATTCCCAATTTATTACATTATTTATTAATTTGATGCATTATAGACGGCGAACAAGAAATTTTACCCATTATATTACCAATGTACCACATTTATGGATTTTCCATCGCAACTTTAGTACTTCTTCAAAGTGGAGCTAAAATTATAACAATACCAAAATTCACGCCGGATATCTTCCTTAATTGTTTAAAAAAACATTTTCCTACATTACTTATGTTAGTCCCACCTTTAATTATCTTTTTGCATTCTCATGAGGCGGTGAAACGAGAATACTTAAAAAATTTACGATCTGTGGTATGTGGAGCTGCTCCTCTTTCAAAGATGGATGAGGACAAATTAAGGGAACGAGTTGGACATCGGTTTAAAATGTTGCAAGGTTTTGGGATGACTGAAACGACAAGCATAGTTTTGGCAACTCCCGATTCTAAGGAAGGTAAATTTCCTGGAAGTATGGGACATCTCCTTCCAAATACAATATTAAAATTAGTAAAACCAGATGATCCCGAATTAAAACAATTAGGACCAAATACTGTTGGGGAAATGTTAGTAAAGGGACCTCAAATCATGAAAGGATACTTTAACCGACCGGAAGATGATAAAAACAGTTTTGTTGATGGTTGGTTTCGTACCGGAGATTTAGCCACCTACAACGAAGACCAATTCTTTTACATCGTGGATAGAATAAAAGAATTGATAAAAGTAAAAGGGTATCAAGTGGCACCTGCTGAACTCGAAGAGGTAATAAGAACTTTCCCTGGAGTTCTTGAAGCAGGCGTGATTGGAATTCCACATAGATATTACGGAGAAATACCAAGAGCGTATGTTGTACCAAAAATAGGATGTAAAATCGACAAAGTTAAATTAGAAGCATATGTTAAAGAAAAAGTTGCTCCTCACAAAAAATTACTGGGAGGAATTGCAATCGTGGAAAATCTTCCGAAGAGTGCAGCGGGGAAACTGTTGAGAAGACAATTAAAACTACAATATCAAGACGAACTTGCCAAAAAGTAATTTAAACTAAAAATTCTTTATAATAAATTTTAGAAATCTTATTCAGTTCCTTTTCATTTCTTAAAAAGATTTATGTAAATATTATTTAAGAGATAATAACTTAATAAGATAATAAATAGCTCTGTCACTCTCAAATAATATCAAAGGTCTCCGCGTTGATTTTTTTATCCAAGGTCTTTTCATGTTCAAGTTGAACTCGCATGAAATAAAACTTTAGTATATCAACGCCGTATTTACGTTTGCGTTCGAAGTGGGGATATGAAATATATGATAAGCGAGCGTAATAAACGAATTCGATTACTTCTACAATATTGCTTCACTATGAGAGTTCTTGGACGATTATTTTCAAAAAATAACAGATTTGCGTTGGAATTAATACGCAGGTGTCATAGCGTTGAATATATAAGTTCACAATTACCTGATATAGAAACAACCAGTGATAATGTAGCTGAGTATATTATGCGAGATTTTAGTAAGTGGACGAATAAAACGGCGTTAGTAAGTAAATTTTCTCGGTATTCTACGCGTGCTTAACATTTATTTTCAGCACTGTTTTGTTACTGGAAAAAAATATACCTTCGATGAACTAAGAATAAATTCACATAACTTGAGTAGATCGTTAAGAAAAATACTTGGTTTAAAAACTGGGGATGTTGTAGCTATTTTATTACCAAATAGCCCACAATTTGCTGTTTGTACCTTAGGGACTTTACTATCAGGATTGCGACTAACAACACTAAATCCTGTTTATACTGCACGTAAAAAACATTTAATAATTCATAATTACTTACATTATACTGAGATTTCTTTAGATGAAATACAACGTCAACTTGTTGATGCGAACGTAAAAGCGATTTTTACCATCAATAGTGCCGTTAATAACGTACAAGAAGCTTTAAAATCTGCTCAACTGAAGATACCAATTATTGTAGTGACATCTACGGTGAGTAAACAACTGCAATTTAATATATCTGCGCATTGCGATGATATATAGGGTATTTAAGTTTGAAAATTGGATGCATGGATAAATTGTGATAAGTATCGGAGTCAAAATGAACCTCCGATATATCAAACGCAACTACCGTTGAAGATGAGATTGCACCATTCACACTAAACTGACTGCCGCCTATCCAAATGATAATCTCGATACACTCAACAGTCGGGTTTCGAATGAATGAATTCGAATACTGATTCCAATGCAATGCAACGTTGATAACACATATCATGATTTAGTATATTAAAATAGTCGGTTAAGATTTGTTAAATTTTACTCTTACCTATAAATTACTTTGATATAACATAATATTTGCAAAATATCTAGCTGGAAATTATCTTCCCTTTTAATAGTTACAAAGGTTTATTGGATAAATATAAAAAATTATATATGATAGATTATATTTCCGGTTAAAATTCAGCAGCAGTATATAGTTTTTTATAAGTAGTAGAGTCTATTCTTCCATACGCAATATATAATTTTTTGGCAGCATTGTCTAGTTTGCTACAAGCAGTAACGGGTTTTTTATTAACACCGCTTAGTGTAACGGTATCAAATCTTCAACCAGCAGTTTTTAGACTTCTACATGCAGTACCTGGTATTCTGCCTTCTACTCGAATTATCTTCTTCTCGGCAAGCAATATGTGGTCTTCCGTTAGTAGTATCTGGTTCTCTAGCAGCCGTAACCAGTTTTCTACAAGCAATAATTAATCTTCTGCAGCAGTATCTAGTCTTTTATAAGTAATATCCAGCTTTTTATTAACAGTGTTAAATCTTCTAGTAGCAGAGTATAGTCTTCCATTAGCAGTACCCGGTAATTTATTAGTAGTGTAACTAATCTTTTGCTAGTAGAATCTAGTCCCAGTTTTCTATAAACAGTATCTAGTCTTCAACCAGCAGTTTGTAGACCTCTACAAGCAGGACTTGGTCTTCTGCAAGATGACAGGAATTAAGAGGAATACCATAAATCTTGCGTTCTGTCTCTAAGCCCTAATTATGATGATTGTCGTAAAATTTTATTTCAGCAAAATGAGTCTGTGCCGAAAGGTCTTATAAAATACGAAGAATTAGTTAATTTAAAGTCCGATTCCACCCCATTAGAGCAATTGGATAACGATGATTTTTGGTTTTTACCGTATTCAAGCGGAACAACTGGTCTTCCCAAAGGGGTAATGTTAACCAATAAAAATTTGACTGTAAATATTGCTCAATATCAAGCATTTAATTTTATGGAAAAAACTACAGGTAAAGAATTATCTACCATTTTTACAAAAAATTATAATTTTATCTTTTTATAGAAAATTTCCAAGATGTCTTACCACTAATAATACCAATGTTTCATATTTATGGTTTTACGATGGCAACAGCAACTGCTTTACAGAACGGAGTTAAATTAGTAACTTTACCAAAATTTAATCCAAACGATTTTTTGCATCTTCTTAAAGAAAATTCTCCTACTTTATTAAAATTAGCTCCGCCGTTATGTAAAATTAAAAAACAACTTTGGATATTTAAATAATTACAAAATGTTTTAATTGTAGTAATTTTCCTAAATACTTATCCTGACGCTAAAGCGGAGTATCTTCAAGCCATAAGAACTGTTCTTTGTGGAGCTGCACCACTTGGTAAATCAGACGAAGATAAATTCAGAGAGAAGGTTGGAAAACCAGTAAATATTGTACAAGCTTATGGATTAACGGAAACTGCACCTTTTGCAATGAGTACTCCACTTTCGAAACAGGGTAAATTTCCTGGAGCTATGGGTGAACCAACATCAAATACATTAATGAAAGTAGTTAAAATCGACGATCCTAAAAATAAACATATTCCACCGAACCAAGTTGGAGAACTATTGATTAAAGGTCCTCAAGTCATGAAAGGATACTATAATAAACCAGAAGAAACTAAGAAATCGATAACACCTGACGGTTGGTTTAGAACGGGTGATATGGTGCGTTACGATGAAAACGGAATGTTTTATATTGCCGATCGAATCAAGGAGTTAATTAAAGTAAAGGGTTTTCAAGTACCTCCTGCAGAATTAGAAGAAATCATAAGAAATTTTCATGGAGTAGCTGACGCGGCGGTTATTGGTATAAGTCATGAAGTATCCGGTGAAATTCCTAGAGCTTACGTAGTTCCAAAACATGGTGTTAAACTTGATCCGAATCATTTACGTAATTTTGTCGACGAAAAAGTTGCTCCATATAAGAGATTATCTGGAGGTGTTGCGATAGTTAATGAGATTCCTAAAAATCCTTCTGGAAAGATTTTAAGGAGGATATTAAGAGCGAATTTTGAGAAAGATGGGATTTAATTTCTGTATCTGTTAAATATTGAATTAAATCTGTAATTATCTTTAATAAAATTTTTTTAAAATAGTGTAAGCAATTCATATCATTGACGTCATAATAATGTTACAAAATTTTAAGGCGACACTTATTTTTTTTTCCTTTATCTAAGGTCATAATATTCAAAGCGTATTTTTATAAATTCTATTTTTAATTTTTATGTTCATATCAAAGTAATCTCTGAATAACACGTTAAAATCTTAGCATATTCTCCGAATATTTATTTGTGATCATTATGCAAATTTTAGCTCAATTTTTTCGGAGAAACTCAATAGTGTTAACTCGGCCTTTTCGCAGAAAGTTTTCTTCCGCGCAAGAATACCTCAAATCTACGTTTCCTGATGTACAAATTCCTAAATTAAATATAGTAGAATACGTGTTTCAGAATTTCGAGAGGTGGCCAAATAATGTGGCGGTGGTTCGTTTAAAAAAAAATTATATTTTTGTGTATTCGATTAAATATATTTTCAGGAATGTGGATTATCTGGGAAAAAATACACTTATGATGAAGTAAGGTTAAATTCAATTTATTTCGGGAACGCTTTACGAAAGTTATTGAAGCTTGAAAAGGGAGATGTTGTGGCTATTCATCTTCCTAATATACCAGAATATCCTATATGTGCTTTAGGAATCCTTTCTAGTGGATTAAGGATAACAACTATCAATCCGGCTTATACTTCGGGTATTATTTAGTTACTACTACAGTAATAATTTTACTATATTAAACATTTTTTAGCCGAAATAAGAAGACAAATACTTGATTCTAACGCTAAACTTATTATAACATTAAACGATGGTTATCGAAATTGCAAAGATGCCACATTGAGTCTCAAGACAACTATTCCAATCGTTATTGTGAAAGATAAGGTTTTAATATAATTTTGGTAATACTCAAAGAATTGTTATTATAGTTTTCAGAATGAGGACTCAATTCCCAATAAGTGTATTAACTTCCAAGAGTTAATTGATTACAAATTTAAGACCGAAGAAAATATCGCGCTTGATTACGATGATGTTGTGCATCTTCCATATTCAAGTGGAACCACCGGAATGCCAAAAGGAGTCATGTTGACCAACAAAAACATTGTTGCTAACATTGAACAATTCCACGCCCCGCAAATAAGATTTATAAACGAATGTTCTGGTGAAATTCAAATATTGCAATAAATTAAAATCATAATTTTTTCTTACAAATTCAGGTTCTGATCAAGACGTGGTTCCATGCGTTTTACCAATGTTTCACATTTTCGGCTTTTCGTTATGTATGTTAGCATTACTTCAAAAGGGTTGCAAGATGGTTACTTTACCCAAGTTTACACCCAACAACTTTTTAAACGTTTTAAGTAACCATAAACCACACGCAATGGAACTGGTTCCTCCCATAGGTTCGTAATATTAATTAATTCTCCAATTTATAATTATTATATTCTTAATTTAAGTGGTGTTTTTAAACACGCACGAAGGCGTAAAAAAAGATTATTTCGAAAATCTTCGCACTATTTTGTGTGGAGCCGCCCCATTAGGTGCTTTGGACGAAGAGAAATTTAGAAAAACAGTGGGAAAATCTTTAAATGTTTTACAAGGTTCAGAATTTTGTTATTGATTATTATGAACATAATTATTTTCTCTTGTAATTATAGGTTATGGTTTAACTGAAACTTCTCCGAGTGTAATTTCAATGCCCATAAGTCAACAAGGAAAATATCCCGGAAGTATAGGGCACCCATTGCCAAACACCGCATTAAAAATAATAAAAATTGACGATCAAGAAGGAACGCATTTAGGTCCAAATAAAGTTGGCGAGTTATTAATAAAAGGTCCTCAAGTAATGCAAGGTTATTTCAACAAAGATGAAGAAACGAAGAACGCCTTCTTAAACGGTTGGTTTCGAAGTGGAGATTTAGCCAGATACAACGAAGACGGCATGTTGTACATCGAGGATCGAATTAAAGAATTGATTAAAGTAAAGGGATTTCAAGTACCTCCTGCTGAACTTGAAGAAATAATTAGGGATTTTCCCGGAGTGGCGGAAGCTGCAGTTATTGGTGTGCCTAATAAATATACCGGTGAACTTCCAAGAGCATACGTAGTTACAAAACCAGGACACAATGTTAATATTGCAACGCTAGAAGAGTTTGTTAATTCGAAAGTAACTTCCTATAAAAAATTAGCTGGTGGTATCGCTTTAGTTAATTCTATTCCAAAAACCGCATCAGGAAAGATTTTGAGAAGAGAACTAAAACTTTTATTTGAAAAAGATGGAATCTAAAACATTTTTTTTTCACAACTGCTTCGAAATCAATTTATAATGTAAAATAAAAACAGGTTCAAAAGTGTCTTGTGATATTTCTTATCAATTTTATATTTCTGTCTGTTTTATTTGATATTTTCACAGTATGATTTATCTTATGTTAAGAAATAAAATATGTTTTTAATGATGTTGTTTAAGATTCGAAATCATAACTGGCAGGTGGTTCACAACGTCCATAATGAGTTATAGCGTGTACTAATATCGTTGCCTTTTTCGCAGAGCGCACTCCAAATACCACGGCTGAATTCCTTTGAGCACTGTGTACGCGTGATCGTAGTACATCATTAACACTAACTTCGTACCCTATTACCAGATTATTGCACGGTTGTGTCCATTTAACTAAAACACTTTCTGATGATATTCGCGTAACTTCTTTAATCGATACGATCGCTGCCGTTGGTGCACATTTTCCGCACGGACCAGGTGGCGGTAGTGGTGTGTTATTTGGTATAGCATTTACAGAACCTGAATCGGGTTTTCCTTGTAACTTGCCTTGCATTTCTTGAATAATTTTATCTTTGGTTTCACATTTTTGTTGAAGGCTTTTTAATGAATTTTGAAGATCGAGTATCTTCAATGGGCAAGGAGGTGGTGCTGGAGCACTACCAGAATAATGACATGCAGCATCCACTTCTGCACTGTCGCATGAACAGCGAATTTGTTCCATCAGAGCTTCTAGTTCTTCTATTTCCTTCTTTCGATCTGCATTATCAGGAGATGCGTTTTCCTGTTTTGCACTTTTCTGGCAATGTTTACATTTGCAACCAGCAACATTATCTTTCGATTTCTTTTTTTTGCGCAAATCATCGTCTGTAGATTTACTCCTTTGTTTTTTTTTGGAAGGTCCACAAGAACACGCTCCAACACATTTGCAAGGCCGACTAGATTTCGACTTTGATTTGTGCTTAGATTGTTTAGATTTATCCTTTGGAGCGCATACAGGACATTTACAACCTTTTCCGTGATTTACTGCCAACGGACCACAAATTGGGCATTGACATGATGGTCCATGTTTATCTTCCATAGATTGACTTGATGCAATATTCACATCAGCGCATGGTTTACACAGACATTGTGGGCAATCACACAATGGTCCGTGTGGGGCAGAGACTGGAGAGCAAATGGGGCATTTACAACTTTGTCCATGTTTATCCGTAGGTTGTGGTTGTTTAGGGCAAGGTTCGCAAACACACTCGGGACATTTGCAACCTGGCCCATGCTTCGGGTCCATACAAGGAGCACAGCGACATATGGGGCAATCGCAATCTGCGCTATGTGGTTCTGGCATATCTTTTTTAAGCTTCTCCAATGTGCGTTTAGTTCGAAATATAGGATCGTCACAGGGATCACAAACACACTTATCACAATTACATTCCTTCCCATGTTCCTTCTTCTCGGCTTTATTTTTGCTGCCGGAGCATGTACAAGACGTACATGTGCATTTTCCTCCATGTCCTGTATTAAGAGAACTTCGAAATGGATCTAGTTTGCAAGGGTCACACGCGCAATCGTGACATTGACAACCATTTGGCTGCTGGGAAGTCTTTTTAAAAGCATCTTTTAACGGACTTAAATCTGGAATATCTACTTGATCCCAGTTTTTAAATATTGAAGATATGGGAGCATTCGTAATTGCTCTAATTTTAGGATCCTTACACGACTTGCACATGCAAAACCAGCAATCACATAAATCGTTTTTTTCAGCACCAGTATCACAAGCTTTAGCCCGTTCTTTTTTTTGCGCTTCTATAACATCATCAACACAAGGGTTGCATTTACATGATGAACAATTACAATCGACAGGATGTTGGGATACTACTTCATCCTTTTCCTTTCCCTTTTCCACTTCTGCTCCTTCTCCACCGGCGTCTCCTTCTTTCTTTTTTTTATATAAACAGTTATCACAAGTAAAATTCTCGTCACAATCACATGTAACTCCTGCTTTCTTCCCTAAACAATTTTCGCAAGTAAAATTCTCATCACAAACGCATGTAAGGTCCATATTTTTATCCCTACAGGGATTACATTTACACTGCGGGCAATCACATTCGGGACTATGTTGTGCTTCAAATTCACGTTTCTTTCGGTTCATGTTTTCATCAGCGCAGTTTTCGCACAAAAAGTCTTCGCATTCGCAAGGGGGAATATCAAGACATTTCTCGCAATCACAGTCTGGAGTGCATTTACAATCAGGATGACGTGTCTTTCCAGGACCTAATGGTGGTAAAGAATTTTCGTTCGCATCAAGTTGTTTAGATGCTCCACTTTTACTTGCATCGTCTTGGTCCATTGGTTCACATCCACATAACTCACCTATTTTTTTCATACCTGGGATAGGTGCATCACCTTCGACAAGATATTGTTCAAATAATTTATCACCAGCATCTTGACGTTCAGCTTCTGGAAACTTTTCTGTGTCTCCGCATGGTGCGCATACACACTCAGGACATGTGCATGGATTCGTTGGAACATTGAAACGAGCACATCGAGCGCATATGCACTCTGGACAATCGCAATCTGGCACGTGTATGCATTCCTCGCAAAGACATTCTGCACATGTGCAATCTGGATGATGCGGTGGAAGACTTGTAGGGCAAACAAAGTTCTTAGTTTCATCAGCACAGGGAGTACACAAACATACTTGGCAATCGCAAGGAACTTTGTGTGCATCTTTAGGGCCTTCTACTTCTACAGAAGTCTTTAAAAAACCATTGCTGGGATCACATAAACAATCTACGCAAACACAATCCGGAGGGTGTGCTGCATCTCCAACGGTACTCCTATCAAATTTGGATGGATCACAAATACAATCAATACAAGTACAATTGGGGGGATGTTGATCTGTTTCACAAACTGGTTCCTTGCACTCGCAAATAGCAATATTGCATTTTTTACATTTACATCCAATAGGTGCACCAGTAGGAGTGCCGTCTGGTCCTAATGCTCCCATCTTCGCCAGATCTTCGCCCATAACCGGAGTTCCATCGGCCGTCAACATATGACCTTCTGCGTCTAATATGGGTTGACCACTTGCATCCAACTGTACACCAGGCGGAATTACATGGCCGCTAGCTGATACCATATGACCTTCTGCATCCATTTGTACACCTTCTGGTAGCACATGACCGCTTGTAGTTAACATATGCCCTTCTGCGTCTACAAGTGGCTTACCACTTGCATCTAATTGTACACCAGGAGGCAATACATGGCCACTAGCTGTTACCATATGACCTTCTGCGTCCATTTGCACACCATCTGGCAGCACATGACCGCTTGTAGTTAACATATGCCCTTCTGCGTCTACAAGTGGTTTACCACTTGCATCTAATTGTACACCAGGAGGCAATACATGGCCACTAGCTGTTACCATATGACCTTCTGCGTCCATTTGTACACCTGCTGGTAACACATGACCGCTTGTAGTTAAAATATGCCCTTCTGCGTCTACAAGTGGCTTACCAGTTGCATCTAATTGTACACCAGGAGGCAATACATGGCCACTAGCTGTTACCATATGACCTTCTGCGTCCATTTGCACACCATCTGGCAGCACATGACCGCTTGTAGTTAACATATGCCCTTCTGCGTCTACAAGTGGTTTACCACTTGCATCTAATTGTACACCAGGCGGTAATACATGGCCACTAGCTGTTACCATATGACCTTCTGCGTCCATTTGCACACCATCTGGCAGCACATGACCGCTAGGTGTTACAATATGACCTTCTGCATCTATTTGTACCCCATCTGGTAATACATGACCGCTGGCAGTTAGCATGTGACCCTCCGCATCTAACATAGGGTGTCCGCTTTCATCTAGTTGTACACCAGGAGGTAATACATGCCCGCTAGGTGATACAATGTGACCCTCTGCATCTATTTGTACCCCATCTGGTAATACATGACCGCTGGCAGTTAGCATGTGACCCTCCGCATCTAACATAGGGTGTCCGCTTTCATCTAGTTGTACCCCAGGAGGTAATATATGACCGCTAGGTGTTACGATGTGACCTTCTGCGTCTATTTGTACTCCCTCTGGTAGTACATGACCGCTGGCCGTTAGCATGTGACCCTCTGCATCTAAAAGCGGGTGACCACTTTCATCTAATTGTACGCCAGGCGGTATTATATGGCCGCTAGGTGTTAGGAGGTGACCTTCTGCATCTATTTGTACACCCTCTGGTAGTACATGACCGCTGGCCGTTAGCATGTGACCCTCTGCATCTAAAAGCGGGTGACCGCTTTCATCTAATTGTACACCAGGCGGTATTATATGGCCGCTAGGTGTTAGGAGGTGACCTTCTGCATCTATTTGTACACCCTCTGGTAGTACATGACCGCTGGCCGTTAGCATGTGACCCTCTGCATCTAAAAGTGGGTGACCGCTTTCATCTAATTGTACACCAGGCGGTATTATATGGCCGCTAGGTGTTAGGAGGTGACCTTCTGCATCTATTTGTACACCATCTGGTAGTACATGACCGCTAGGAGTTAGCATGTGCCCCTCTGCATCTAAAATTGGTTGTCCATTTTCGTCTAGCATTACACCCGGTGGTGGTTTCTTGGTTTCTTCATCTCCTTCTTCAATCGTACCTTTACTTGAAAGACGACGTCTTTTTTTGCAAGTAGGAAGGGAACATGATCGTCGAGATGCTGCTCGACCTTTTTTACAAGTTTTTGGAGTACATGTTCCTTCAACATCCTGACTATCACCTATCGACTCCGATTTAGATGGCGTCATTACACTTGCATCGACTGTCGTCTTACCACATATGGCTTTAGCACAAATCGGTAAACATTCAAAAGAGGGTTTACACATTGGGGTTTCTTCTGTATCAAATGAACGCATTGTACTTACTGATTCTTGAATGCAAGCACAGGTTTTGAGGCAATCATTGCTTCCATGAGGTTTATCTAAAGTTTTATCTCTTTCTTCGCAGGTGCTCGAAGTACACGATGGGTCTTCTAAAATACTTTCTGATGCTGGAAGTTTTAGATCTAAATCAACGGTCTTAATGGCTGTTGACTGTTCAGAACAGGCACATCCAGTAAATTGAGAGAAAGGTTGGCTATCACCATCACAAGTGCATTTGCAATTTGAACATTGTTGTGGTGGGGTGTCATAGGCTGTACTACCATCTGAGCATGTACACTCTAACATAGGCGAAAAACCTCCCTCATACTTAGAACTTTGTTCACTAAATGGTTGACTGCCGTTACAAATACAACGTCCACTCGGTCCTGTTGAAAGATCAAACTTTAAACTTCCTCTGCCTGATGAAATTCTCTGCGTGCCACCGAACGCGGTACTATCACAACAACACGGATTTCTAGTGTTGGAACTGACTAAGGAGCGTTGCCCGCTGTCACCGGATAATGGTGTTGTACGCCTACTTCTTCGACAACATACAGAACCTGTACCTCTTACGTTTATAGGCGATATAGCAGCGTTTACAGTACTTTGACAACATGGTGCTCCACATGTGCACTGTTTATCTCGATCTCCTGGTACACCTTGTTCTATATCCCGTGAAACTTGAATTCTCACGGGACATGTAGATGCATCACATGTTGATTGAGTATAATTTGAAACAGCATTCCTATCTGAAAATACGTTACCGCTTGTAGTTCTTGATCCTTTAAGTCGACATGAACAAGACTTTGAACTAGTTTTTCGGGCTTCTCCTTGAGACGTTTCTTGAGGCGTTTCTTGGGCATTTCCTTGAGGTGTTTCTACGGTGCTGGTTTGTTTTGAACAAGAGCAGCAAGGTCCTCTGCTTTGTCTACCATTAGTATCTGATGAATGTTCAGTCATTCCTAATTTTACCTTGCTTTCGACCAATGTATCTACATCTTTATTTTTAGCAATTAATACGGGACAAGTAGGAATGGTACATATAGCTTTATCATCATCCTCTAAATCGTAATAGTTTTGTTGAATACCAACATCACCACAATTGTCTGCAGGAACCCCTTTAACACTTCCTGATTTTGATTTGATTGCAGAGAGATTGTCAACAGAATTATTGCTATCAGATTTACTTGAATCGCTATCATTATATCTTGTTGTGCTTTTGATAACGCAACATGGTGGATCACACCGGATCGTCACATCCAATTGGATCCTTGAGCCTTTATCATCATCATCTTTATTAGCACATTCTGAACATAATGTACTTTTGGCTTTCCCGCATTCGCATTTCCAGGGACCATCACCTCCTCGTTCTCCACTAGCACAAATATCTGGTTTACAAATATGCTCATCAGCTCCAAGATCTACCTCTTGATCGTCCACCTTTTCTTCTTCTTTTTCTTCTTCACATTGACATTCTTGATCTGTTGCCGTGCATTGACAGGCTTTATCAGATTTACAAACACATGGTTTTTTTACAACGCTTTCAATTTCTGAAACTTCTTCAGGTTCCTCCATTTCACAGATAGGTGGAATAGATTCGGGTGTACTTTCTTCATCAGCTCCTTCCTCGGTCGCTTCACTCTCCACTTCCGTTGTTTCTTCTTCTGTTTCCTCGCTTCGAGCGACATCTCCTATCGCACCTTCATCAATTTCAGTGTGTGCAGATTCTTCTGTAGGTTCACTAGTTACGTCGGTTGGTGCTAAAGATTCTTCATCAATTATTTTTTCTTCTTCGAACTCTGTCATGTCGGTATGAACTTGAACATTACCAGAATCGGTCAATTTAACAGTTGTATCAATTAATCCTATGGGTCCTTCGGTTGTAATGTGTAATTCACTCCCAGAGGCTGTTGCGGTTGTAACGTAATCACCTTCAGTTGATCTGCTGATAATTTTCACGGACTCCGCATCAGGACTCGGGAGAATATCCGCTGTTGTTTCTGCTTCCGGTAATGGCACCAACTCTACATCTTCATCCACGATTTCACATGGTGGTCTAACTGGTGTTTCTTCTAAAATTGTATCATCCACATCAATTGCACATGGTGGTTTGCCAAATGATTTACAAGTAATTAGGGCGCCGGTTTCATCAAAGAGGCGGCCAGAATCATCAAGTAATGGTTTTTCTTGATCAACTAACATTACATCTACAGTTGGTTCTCCGATTTCGCCAAGAACTTCAGCTTGTTCGTCTAAGGCGACATCTAAAATTGGTTTCCCGGTTTCGTCCATTTCAGATTCTGGTACATCTAAGATTTCTCCTGCTTGCTCATCCAAATTAATATCACCTTTCTCATCTACAACTGGTACACCTTCTTGGTCTAATTGTAGCTCTTCTGGAGCTACTTCTTCCTCTAAAAGTGGTTTTTCTTGTTCATCTAACACCACATCTGCTTCACCACCTTCAAGTAATCCTGCGTCTTCGATTACTTTTTCTTCGATGGGTTGTTCTCCTATTACTGGTAAGGCTGCTGTTAATACATAGTTTGATGGTATTCGATGACCATTCATATCTAATAAATGTCCAGTTTCATCTAACTTCGGTTTGCCATCGTCCCCCATTAATACGTTTATTGGTCTTCCATCAGGTCCTATTGCAAGAACATCTTTTAAAGGTGGTAACTTCTTTAAACAAGGAGGTCCGTAACAAACTCTTCTCCGCTCTACAACTTCTGGTACTTCCTCGACGTCATTACAAATTTCTTCGGGTTGAGTTGCCTCTTCACCTTCTGCATTTGCTGTGTCTAATGGCGCAACTTCTGCGTCTATTGTGTCTAATGGAGCAACTTCTGCGTCTATTGCGTCTAATGGAGCGACTTTTGCATCTGTTGTGTCTAATGGTACAGCTTCTACATTTTCTTGTGCTTCATCTCCTTCTCCAAGTGCATCTCCATCGCCTTCAATTCTATTTAATAAAGCACTAAAGATTTGCAACAACATTAATTAAACTGATAGTTACTAACCGATCGATAACGTCTGAGACGGGTTTTTCCTCTTCTCCTTGCGCCTCTGTTGGAATACTTTCCTCTGGAGGTATTGGCACACTAACTTCATCCGGTGTAGGACAAATACATTTTACTTTAGCACCTAATTTCAAATTGACTTGTAAAATTAAAAAGGGAAATATTAATTTAATGTTGTATACTTTACCTATTTGAGTATCATCTATTTGTGCATCCAAATAATCTAATAAAACAGACAATATCTCCTGCCCTAATATTTCATCTTCTTCACTTATTACAACCGGTGGTTCCACATCCTTTGTGGGCACTGTATCATCAGTAACATCAATACAAATTCCATCTTCAGCACATTCGCAGTAAGGTAAGCTTTCGCTACTGGGAACGTGTACTGTATCAGGCACATTTAACATATCCACCAAATCCTTGATATACTTCACCGTGTCTACTAAATCAGAGTCAGTACATTGACACTCAGCAGCTTGAGTTAATAAAGCCTCCAGATTTTGTGCGATTACATCTAATTCATTTTGACTTGTTCCCCCTTTTGGTTGTCCATCTTTGCCAGGGCATGGTCTATCTTGAGGGCACACTTTTATATCGGACAGATCCTTACAACTTATTGAAAGGCTTGAACTTAAACTTGAGGATCGTCGGCTACCTTTATGACGAGGTTGAGGTCCTCCACCACCGCCGTCCCATCCATCTTCGTCTCCACCATCCGAACTCCCTTTAGAGGGTTTCTTTGGAATACTTTTCTTATCACGGCGTTTTTGAGCATATAAGCGACTGATTGTATGTATTTCGCTTAATTTTTGATTGATAATATCGGTTTGCAACTCACTACATCGACAGTTTAACATGCATAATTCTTCTTTTAATCTTTTATTTACCATATTTAAATCAGCTAGATATTGGTTGGCATGTTGTAACTGACTTTGAAAAAATTCAAATTCTTTTTCTTCTGCCATACGTTTACATTCTGCACCCCCTTGTTGACGTCGAAAGATTTCCTCCAAATCTCGAATTTTTTTCTTTTCAGCTTCAATTTCTCTTTTCATTGGTTCTTCTACATTTTCTTTGAGATGTTTAATATTAGCTATGGTCTCTTCAATTTCAGCTTCAAGGTTATTATTATTTTCTTCGAGTTTTTCGTTTAATCGTTTTAAATTAAGTATTTCATAATCGCCACTACCACTTGTACCCGTAAGTCCTTGTGTTTCCTTTACTCGCCCTTCGTAACATTTTTTAGTACGACCTAAATCATCCAATTCTTTACCTAGCGTTTTTTCGTTTTCCAACATTTTTCTAAGTTTTTCTACATATTCTGCATCATCTTGGCCTACACTAATATTATCAGGTAATGAAGAGCTATCCGATTCTTCGCACGAGCAACTCTCATTATCCTTTTGTAATGTATTGCATGGGCAAGTAGAGGGGTCTAAAGGACAGGTTTTGCATTTACAATTATTTGAATTTGATGTTTTTGTAGGTTGTGTTGATTCATTACATTGGCATGGAGTTTGATAACGACTATCAGCTAATGGACATGGATCACATTTGCAAGCATCGCTTATTGGCGGCTTAGAGGGAATGGTTTTGTTTTGTGAAGAATTGTAATTTTTTTGAGAAGGTGCTTTTCCTGTTGATTTATTGCATTGGCAGGGAATTCCATAAGAACCGTCAGCTAATGGACACGTTTTGCAAAGACAACCATTGGGATTCGTACCCTTTTGCATATTAATTTGTACATTTTCTGAGGAATAACTACAACCGCATTTTTTTAGTGCGCCACGCGCATTTATGTTATCTTTTACCGGTTTTGGGGTATAATCAGTTTCCTTTTTTGTGAAGGGTTGTGGAACATTTTGTGATTTAGTACATTGACAAGGAATGTTATAAGAAACATCACCCAAAGGACACGTTTGGCATGAACAAGGATTTATATTTCCATTTTGTGCGTTTACAACATTATTAATTGGAAACGGACAACCGCAATTTTTGACCGACCTTTGTAAATTCGCTTCATTTTTCGTTGGTTGCGAATTGTTAATCGTAGCTGCGTTTTGGCCAAAATTGCCGTTTCTTTGTATTGGTGGTCCAGCTTGTGCTGTTTTATTACATTGACAGGGAATGTTATAAGGGACGTCACCCAAAGGACACGTTTGGCATGAACAAGGATTTATATTTCCATTTTGTGCGTTTACTTCATTATTAATTGGAAACGGACAACCGCATTTTTTGACCGACGTTTGTAAATTCGCTCCATTTTTCGTTGGTTGTGCGTTTTGACCAAAATTGCCGTTTCTTTGTATTGGTGATGAGGCTTGCGCTGTTTTAATGCATTGACAGGGAATGTTATAAGGGACGTCACCCAAAGGGCACGTTTGGCATGAACAAGGATTTATATTGCCATTTTGTACATTAACTGCATTTTTTATGGATGGAGTACCGTTAGGTTGTGAACCTCCTGGAACTTTAATACATTTGCAGGGGATATCAACAGCAACATCACCCAAAGTACACGTTTGACATGTACATGAATTGAGGTTTCCATCGTTTCCCGGGGTAGAGTTATAATCTAAGGTTCCAATTTGAACAGAATTCTCATCTATGGTATTTTTATTTTGCTTACTTATTTCATCATTCGGCTTAGGACAACCGCATCTTTTAACTGAGCCCTGTACATTGTCATTATTTTTCACCACTTTAGGATCACCAATTTGGGCGGAATTGTCACTATTTTGGGTGGGTTGTTGAACTTTAACTTGTTTATTGCATTGACAGGGAATATCACAAGGAACATTACTCAAAACACACGTATCGCATGTACAAGGGTTGGTGTTTCCACTTTGCGTATTTGCTTCTTCCGTCGCCGGTGTGGGACAACCACATCTTTTCGACCGAGATGGCCAATTTTGATTTTGTACGAGAGGATACGTTTGAAAAGTAGTCTCCATACCTTCCAGGCGTTGCTTCATATTTGGGTGGATCTCCAGTAGTTGGGCATTGCGTAACTCATTGTGCCTACACTGCCAGAATTCTCTATGGGAACTTCTCTGAGCCGGATTTCCCATGATTACGGAATGTGGTAATTTTGGCGATAACGTGAATGAAAGATATACACATAATTTTGTATGGTGTGCTAAATTCTTTGCGATATTGACGCTGAATTTATTTGACAATAAATTTCATAATTTCTGTTACTATGATTACGAAGTTATAAAAAAATTGTCGAACGTTTTCTAGTCACATTCAATATCATTAACATTTTAGACAAAATAAAAGGAATTTGTTTCGTTATGTTATTAGCATTTATTATGTCATTTTTACAACAATAGAGTAAATCACAAATATTTTATGTATTAAGACAGATGTCGACAGAAATTAGCGTAATTCAACAATATCAACGGCTACTACCGCAGTTTGTTAACTACACAAATAATATTCCACTGGATACAGACAGATATTGTTCACAAACTCTTCTTCTTCCTTATTTGAATTATTTGCATAAACTAAAACAAAGATTAATATTAGACATTTTTGTTAATTAAATTAAAATTACTTTGTTTACATGATTTGCTCAAGTTGATATTAAGATCGATAAAAATAATTGATTTTACGCCTTTTGATTTTTTGACTCTGAATACACTTGTGATGGATTACTTTTTTGTTGTTTCCTTCTTTTTGCACGTGGCAAGCGTACAATACCGTTGAGTCGTACCAGCGCGCATTTTTTTACAGGTTGTTGGAATGCAAGATTTATCAATCCCTTCTCGGTATGTTTTGGAATTAGCTCCCATAGAGCTACTACATATATTTATAGCACAGTCTCGAACACATTTAACTGGTAGACAACTCTTGTGGTTCTTATCAAAAGACTGCATTGTACTAACTGATTCTTGCAAGCAAGTGCAGCTCTTAAGACATTTCGAATTATTATCGGGGTTTGAGCTCTCCAATTTATCACGTTCTTCACATATAGTCGAGGTGCATGATGGACTAACTAAAATGCTTTCTGAGTTGTTAGATTTACTTATGCTGGACTGATCGGAATACCCAGCACTATTATCGCACTTCTTTCCTGGGGGAGGTCCAAAGAATGAGCCTCCACCTGCCACTCTTTGAACAATACATATTCCGCAAGGTGCTTGAATTTTTCTGTCCTCCTTTACGTTTCTTGAAGGTTGAGATAATCGGATGCTGGGCATAGTGCTGGCATCTCTTGGACATGGACAGCAAGTTGTTTTATTTAGTTTGTTCTCTACAATTGAATCAACTCCCTTCTCTTTGTACATAATGCGTTTACTAGCACCATTGTTTCGACTTAATACGGGACATGTACTTGTATTTTTACAAGTAACGTTGGTACATCCAGATTTAGATTGATCTGGTTCATTTAAGTCGCAGAAATTCTTTTGAATGCCAATATTTCCGCAGGTATCCGCACAGACCCCGCGAGAAACCCCTGATGTCATAGTCTTACTTTCACCATCCTTTGATTTTAGCTTGGTTGGTTGTTCGCAACTGATTGTAACATCTAACTTAATTTTTGAACTTTTCTTATCACGCGGCTGTTTAGAACATTCATCACATAGTGTTGTTGCTTTCATGCATTCACATGGCCATGGTGCATCACCTCCGCGATCACCACTAGTACATATATCTGGTCTGCAAATTTTTTCATCGCCGGTCAGGCCATCAGCACCATCTTCAGTTACATCTTTATCGCGATCCACATCTCCAGTACTTAGATCAACACTTTCTTTGTCACCGACTCCAAGATCTATTGGTTGGTCACCTATCATTTCTTCACCTGGTACTTCTCCTTCACCTGACACTTCTCCTTCACCTAGAACTTCTCCTTCACCTGGCACTTCTCCTTCACCTGGCACTTCTCCTTCACCTGACACTTCCCCTTCACCTGGTACTTCGCCTTCACCTACTATTTCACCTTCACGTAGTGATTCATCATCACATTGACATTCCTTATCTCCCGCTGTGCATTGACAAGCTTTATCAGATTTACAAGGGCACGGTTTTCTTTCACCTTCCATTCCTAATGCTTCTTGCGAATCTTCCATATCACCAATTGGAGGCATTAATGTTACCACTTCTTCATCACCTTTACCACCACCCTCAGAAATTTCTTCCATTTCACAGACCGGAAGTATTGATGCTTCACCTTCTTCATCACCTTGCCCAGCTTCTTCCATATCACATACCGGAAGTATTGATCCTTCACCTTCTTCCTCACCTTGCGCAGCTTCTTCCATATCACCTATTGGAAGCATTGATTCTTCGCCTTCTTCCTCACCTAGGGCAGCTTCTTCCTCTCCTAGGGCAGCTTCTTCCTCTCCTAGGGCAGCTTCTTCCTCTCCTAGGGTAGCTTCTTCCTCTCCTAGGGCAGCTTCTTCCTCTCCTAGGGCAACTTCCTCAGAAGCTTCTCCCTCAGATATTTCTTCTAATTCGCAAATAGGCGATAAAGTCATATCAATTCCTTCAATTTCACCAAATTGATCTTCTCCGTATATGGCCTCATCTTGCTCAATTGCACTTAACTCCAATTCCGATTCTCCCTCTTCAGAGCCATAGACAACCTTTTCATCTGTAGTGGGTTCTTCAGTCTCTTCACCCTCTAAGTCTGTTGGCGTTAAAGATTGTTCTTCTATAGGTTCTTCTTCTTCGAACTCTGTCATATCTGTAAGAACCTGGAGGTGGCCAGAATCGGTCATTTTAACAGTTGTGTCTATTAATCCTGCCGGTCCTTCGGTGGTTACGTGTAAAGCATCCGCAGATTCAGCTGCAGTTGTAACGTAATCACCTTCCGTTGATCTGCTGATAATTTTCACAGATTCTGCATCAGGGGTAGGCACAATACCTGCTAGCGTTTCCGCTTCAGTTATTGGGACTAAATCTGGTGGTGCTGCCCCAGGTGCTTGATCTAACATTGGTCGCCCAGTTTCATCGACTGGTACTCCAAGCTCTTTTAATCCTTCGGGTGGAACTCGATCCGCCGGAGTGCCATCAGCAGCCACAGCTGGCGCTATAGGATGCCCTTGTTCGTCAACAATAGGTTTACCCGTCGCATCAACTGGAACACCAGCAACAGTTGGTGTGGGTCCAACATCTAGTACATGGCCACTGGGAGAGACCACGTGACCCTCTGCGTCCATAATCGGCTTACCAGCCGCATCTATTGGTGTCGGTGCAGCATCTAAAACGTGGCCGCTGGGAGTGATCATGTGACCTTGTTCATCTACTAATGGTTTTCCATCTTCACCTAACATTAGTTCTACTGGCTTGCCAGTTTCGTCTACGGGACGACCTTGTTCATCAACTAACATTCCTTCTTCTAATATCGGCTTTCCTTCAGCATCCAAAATAGGTTCACCATCTTCACCTAACAATATGTCTTCTTCCATTTCACATGGTGGTTTACCAGTAGGTTGACTAATAAATTTCAATCCACCACATTCACATGGCGGTTCCTCGGGTGGTTTATCCACTGGTTCGACTTCTGGTTCGGGTTCTGGTTCGGTTTCTGGTTCGGGTTCTGGTTCTGGTTCGGGTTCCGGTTCGGCTTCAGCTTCACCTTCTTCTTCTTCAACAGGACTTACAGGTTGCTCATACTCTTCTTCGAGTAATTCTTCAGGATAATACTCTTCTTCTACGACGGGTTCCTCTTCAAGACTTATAGGGAGCTCCTCTTCAGCTAAATATATGATTAAATCTTATTCTCACTATAGGTGCAGCCAACAAAATTAACAAATCTCATATTTGCCCGTTTTGTCAAATTTTTAATAGATTTATTAAATTACCTATTTCCTTTATGATGGGCTTTTCGGGCTGAATTACGGGTTGAACAAGTTTCGAGCATGAACATTTTATAACTAACAAAAAAAAATTTAAATAATAAAGAGGAAAGAATTGTAATTTTTATTTTACTTATTGGTGTCGGTGCCTTTTCTGGTGTAACAGATTCCTCCTGTATAGTACATGAACATTCATCATCTAATAATAAATCAACTTGTTTATCTAATCAAGAATCCACAACATTTTATTAATATTATACCTGGTGATACTGGTGATGGTCTTCGAACTGGCATTTTTGGAACACAAGGTTCATTCAGCCAATCATCCATACAGGAACATACATCATCATATGATGAAGTTTCTAACAATAAGGTAACAAAAAATAATCATAAAACATATACAATTCATTTAACTTAATAGCATACCATCACGTTTTGTAGGTTCTTGTTCGACTTCAGCTTCACCTTCACTTTCGTTCCAACCTAACTGAACGTCCAAATAATCTAATAAAAGGTTTAACAACTCCCTACCAACGCGATCATCTTCAGCACGGAAACGTTGACACTCAGATGAACTCCCAAAAGATAAATCATACACCGACTCCTTTTCTGCTACATCTTCCTTCGTAGCATCACATTTACAAGGATCTAAGCTTTCGGTGCTGGAAGTGGAACCTTCATCAGACTTATTCAACATCTGTATCAAATCTCTGATATAAGTTACAGTGTCTATTAGATCGGCATTAACACATGGACATGTTCTGTTATCAGTAGCTTCTGCTATTAAATTGGTAAGATTTTGTGCCATTATTTCCAAATCATTTGGACCCTTCTTAGCTGGGCATGGTTTATCTTTAGGACACACTAGTGAATCGGATTCACTTTTCGACGATGAACGATACGAACTTCGAGTTGTAGATTGTCGACTTCCTTGACGATGTCTTATACCGCGTCCACCTTTCCCGCTGTCATCACCCCCATCAGAACTTCCTTTCGAATGTTTGCGTGAAGTTTTTTCGGCAGCACGGCGTTTTTGAGCAGATAATCTACTGATTGTATGGATTTCACTTAATTTTTGGTGTATCATATCGCTTTGCAACTCTTTACACCTACAGTTTAACATACACAAGTCTTCCTTCAATCTTTTATTTACCATATTTAACTCGGAAAGATATTCTTTAGCATCGTTAAGCTTTTTACGAAAAGCTTCGATTTCTTTTCTTTGAGCTATTTGTTTCAATTCTAAACTTCCTTGTTGGCGACGACGTTCATCATCCAAATCGCGGATTTTCTTCTTTTCCTTTTCGATTTCTTGTTTTATTGGTTCTTCCATGGTTTCCTTTATGTATTTTATGTTAGCTATGATATCTTCAATTTCAGCTTGAAGGTTGTCGTTGTCTTCCTCTAATTTTCCATTTAAGCGTTTTAATGTTATTATTTCGTAATCGCCACTTCCACTTTCATCGGAATGAGTATGTTTTATAAGCTTTTTTTCTGTACGATCCAAATCGTTAATTTCTTTGTTTAATTTTTTTTCATTTTCTAATAGTTGACGAATTTTTTCTACGTATACTGCATCATCTTGATCTACGCTGATATTAGGAAATGAAGAATCTGATTCGGAAGAAGTCTGATTATTCTTTTGAGATTCATCTGTGAATTTTAAACTATCTTTACTTTGTTCACATTTACAACCAGATTTCAAACGACTATCATCCAACGGACAAGTTCCGCATTTACAAGGTTTTTTTTGTGCATTTTGTACATTCATTTTGTTTTTGAGTGGTATAGGAGACTCATTTTGGGACTTTATAGGTTCCTTACTTTTCTTTCCTTTACGAACGTCACCCATAGGACACGTTTCGCGATTACAACTATTGAATTTCCCATTTTGCACATCTACTTCATCCTTTTCCGGGTAAGGACAACCGCATTCCTTCACCGGTTTCTGATTGTAATCTATGATTCTACTTTGATTTTGCACATTCTGTGCATTTCCAACCAAACAATTACATTTTTTTACAGGCACTGATTCATTATTAGTATTTCCGTTTGCATTTTGAACATTTGCATTACGGTTGTTATCCATGGTTCTATTAGGTGCAGAATTATTAAAATCTTGATTTTGGACATTTAATTCACCATTTATCGGACAACCACATTTTTTTACAGCCCCATTATAATCGATTGTTCTATTAGGTCCAGACTTATAAATGTTTTGATTTTGGGTATTGACTCCATCATTTTTTACCGTTCCAACTTGTACAGCTTTTGTACCATCTATTGGTGTTTCGCATGGGCAGGATATATCAAAAGGAACATCACTTAGAGGACACGTTTGGCACGAACAGCTATTGAGGTTTCGATTTTGCCCGTCAGCGTCTCCTACAGCTTCGGCAACTTTTTCATTTGTTTGTGTAGATTGTGGTGCATTTGTTGATTTAGCACATTGACAAGGGACATCAAAGGGAACATCTCCCAAAGGACACGTTTGGCATGAACAAGGTTGATTAGTATTCACGTTTTGATTTTGCACTTTTACTTCATTATTCTCCGGAATAGGCCTTGTCGCGTTTGTATTTTGTCCGAAATTATTGATGTTTTGATTTTGTACATTTGGATCATCTTGTTTCGGGCATCCGCATTTCTTTACAGAATTATTGACATTTTGATTTTGTAAATTTACTCCACGATTTTTTTCTGTTATCCCAACTTGGCCAGCATTGAATTTTGTTGATGCAAATTTTGTACCATCCGTTGGTTTAACGCATTGGCATGGAATATCATAGGGAACATCAGTTAGAGGACACGTTTGGCACGAACAACTATTAAGACTTCCATTTTCTCTTTCAGCGTCTCCTACAGCTTGGGCGGGTTGTGGTATATTTGATGAAGGTTGATTAGTATTCAGGTTTTGATTTTGCACTTTTACTTCATCATTTCCCGGAATAGGGCAACCGCAGTCTTTTGTCGTTTTTTGGACCTTTACTTCTTCTTTAACTGGATTAGGACAACCGCATCTTTTGAGTGATGGTTTGTTGTTATCTGTAGGTTTACCAGTTGTAGGTAATGAATTGTTATTCTTTTGTGTGGGTTGTGATCCCTTTGCTGATTTAATACATTGACAGGGAATATCATAAGGAACATCGGCCAAAACACACGTTTGGCATGAACAAGAAGTTTGGGGGTTTTGATTTGCGGCTCCAGTTAGGTCAGAATTGTCATTGTTTAATCCAGGTTGTGCAGCATCTAAATCTTTAATACATTTACAGGGAATATCAAAAGTAATATCAACCAAAGTACACGTTTTACATGTACACTTGGTATTTCCATTTTGTACATTCAGTTCATTTTTCTTCGGTTCAGAAGCTTGCTCGTTCCCTGCAGGTTTAGGACAACCACATCTTTTGAGCTGTTGGGGTGGCCAATTTCCATCTTGAACAACTGGTAATACTTGAAACGTGGCGTTCCTAGTCTTAAGACGTTTTTTAATATTTGCTTGATCACTCAACTGATAACTATTATGTTGGTTGTTTTGGGGTACATAGGTTACATATTGCCAACATTCTTTGCTGGACCTTTTTTGGTTCGGATTGTGCATGATACAGTAGATTCGTAAATAACGTGAATTAAAGTCTTACACATAATTTTGAATGATATTGTAAATTCTTCGAGAATATTGAGGCTATATTTGACAATAAAAATTTGATAAATTTGGAGTAACCATGGACATGGATATTTTTTGACAATTGTGTCAAAATTTACAGAATAATAGTGCTACTCTTAACGAGCAGAAATGGAAACATAATTTAATGACTTATTTTTGTATATTTATTCAGTATTTATTCAAATGAAACGATATTACATAATCAAATACCAACCAAAGACTATCTATGCAACATCTCTAATACAACTACAAGATGTATCTTGCGAGCTACCTTGCGCGCTACAATTTAAACTTCCCTCTTGAAGTTTATTTATAGCATCGATTTCATTCATTTTTTGTTGTATGAGAGCTTGCTCCATCTGGCCGCATTTATACTCTAAAACTAAAACTTCCTGTTTGATACCATCATTTACCAAAGCCATATCACCGATGTTCTCTTGTGTTCGTGCTAATTGTGACTTTACTAACTCCAATTCATCCGATGATGAGTCTACGTAATCAGGACTACTCTTTGTAGCTATTTCAGCTTGTACCTGAACATACTTTTTTCTTATTCTAGAATAATATACATAAAACTTACATTAAGGATCATATTTTTCTAATTAATCATTTTCTTACCTATCTAATTCTCTATTTAATGGGCCTTCTATTTTTTGTGTTAGTTGATCTCGTTCTAAACGTAAATCTTGAATTCTATCGCATAACGTTTCGTGTAAGCTTTGTAACTCCTTGTTTAAAGAGCGTAGCATTCTAGCGTTATTACTGGCTGGTTTGTTTCCATTTGTTCCCTGAGGTGATGAACTTGGTCGCCCCCCGTTTTGTTCTATTGCCTTTTTTAAAGATTTTTCTTGGGCGGTTAGATTATCTAAATCTTGTTTTAGGTCGCAATCTTGCTGAGTTAGCTGCCGCACCTTTTCCAAATATTTTGCATCCGTCGAATCTAGTGAGAATGCACTCATATGGTCACTTTTAGCCGAGTTTATACTGCAGGAGCAGTCATCCTTCAAAACAAAATTAATAAGATATTAAAAAAATAGTCAATTATAAACTTACTGCGGCATTAGATCTGGGTCCTTTCACGGGCACTTCAGTGGTTAATGAATAGCATAGGCAACCGTTAGTAAATTGAATGTTAGCATATGGGTTATTAGGAGTCGTAGTAGGATATGGATGACGATTACTTTGGTATGTGCTGTAATTATCGCAATGGCACGACGATAATGAAGAACTACTTTTTCTCATACTACTGCAACTCTTCGTAGTTCTGCTGACACAATGTCTGCATGTACATTCTTTATGTTTTGACTTTCTGTGGGACACACATGAGCACGAACTTCCAGAACCACTTTCGTGTCGTTTCAAATCCCCACTTGGTCTTCTGCTTCCGTGTTTCTGTTCTTCTGATGTGCATCCTTCGCGATCTTTTGTCCTGTAACATAAATGAGAACATCGACATGACCCCGTCAACGAACTATTGCTAATTTTGTCTTTCATATCGCTTGAAAGTCTTCTACTGCCCTCTTTAGAAACATAATCAGATTTTTCATACACGTTTTCCGGATACTCATCCGTACACCCTTGACGGCTGCTTGTTCGATGACATAAATGAGAACATCGACATGAATCGTTGTCTTCCGCATCAGAAGACTGCCTTCGTCCTTTCGAATCACCAACATTACTTCTTGAACGAGATGATGAACATTTACAAGTTCTTCGATCTGTAGAACTTTGTCTAGGTTCACCATTTGATTTTTTCATTGAGTACGGAACATCTTGGGAATAGGGATAAGACATTTTTCTAAATTCTTGTAAAGAACCTTCGTTTTAAGACAAAAAATTTTGGCTTTTATGTTATCAAATGTTAAACTGCGTGGAACCTTTTAACAAAACAATTTTGGATGTATGTGACTCATGTCAATTTTTTTGTGATGTTAATCGTGAGTGACAGTTTTATGTTGTATTGATCGTTAATAAATTCGAGGATGTCATGAAAAGTTAATGCTTTTTAAGTTATATACAACAAGACAATTATATACATATTTAAAAAAATATCACATTCTAAGCAACGGTCTAAATATGGCATATCTTGATTTAAAAAGGCAAAATTAATTGGATTGAGTTAGGTTGGGTTAGATTCAAGTAGATAGAGCTCAAGGGAGTTCAAGGAGGCTATTCTAGATTCCCCCCGTGGATCTCGTGGTAGAAGGAAGAACAAAGCTGCATAATTACGTATGCAAATAACTTGAATTAAAAGGCAATAATAATTTGATAGAAGATTGGCAAACAAAGTGAGCCAACCAATGGAATGGATGAGGTTGCTAATTCCGAATATGAAAGGTAGATTATTACTTGTCATATGCTCTGACCATAAACGCAATTTTTAAAACTTGGTTTTGGACTTGTGCTGGTTTTGCAACTTGGACGATTGTTCTTCTTTGAAAACACTTAACTAAGTTGCAGAATAATTTTTGTTTTTAATGATTTTTCATCTGTTATAAGCTCAAATACTTAGGGAAGTGCAACACTTTTTTTTAATTTTCTTTTAATAATAATCCAAATTTGATTGCGATGACGACCTATCGATACCGATACTGTTTTTGACAATTTCCATTTTCTCTTTATCTAAAAGTAGATGTTTCGTCGAAAATCGCTCGTAGAGGCAATATCATGTTCCCGGTTGTTGGTGCGCCGTCGTCATAGGGATCGGCGTCTCGGCTCCACCGGGCAACCCCAACTTTCCAGAAGGTAGCAGAGACGAGTGGGTGCTACGCACGTGCTGGTCCGTCACCGTTTCGATTGATCAAACACCGAACTTCCTCGTGTTAATCGTTTTCGTCATACAAAAAATCTCGAAAAATTTAAATACCGTCATCATATCCGTCATTTTCGACAAAACGTTATCCGTGCATATCATTTACATACTTAAAATATCTATATAAATTAGTGCTTAAATTAATGTACTTAAATATTAAAAAAAACATATGTTATTAACGTGACGAAGAACCTTTTAAAGAAATAGTGATTTAATAATAATTAAGATTGTTGTGTTGACTATTAGTGCTTTTCGTGAAAGTTATCTTAGCGAAGTTGGTAAGTATATTTTAACAAATACATTTGGTGTATAATAAATATTGTTGATAGATAAAGAATAATTGTAAAATAGACACTAATCAAGTATAATTTCTTTACTTTTACGTGTAGTCGTCTACAAAGCTGCAGATTAAAACCCATAAATACACTAAATCGATAGGAACTTATTTCGCGGGCAGTAAATTTTCCGACTATAATCTTTTGATGCCATTCGTTATTGAAAGCAATTGTAACCTCTGGTAACGATTGTAGCCCTTTATTCGAAAATGAGTTTCTCTCACTCCAATATTCGGACGCTATTTTAGACATTACAATATAGTTATTATTCAAGTCTATATATTCAAATATTTTTGTTCAAACTACTACATTTTATCACCAACATTTTAGTTCTATAATAATACATTTCTGCCTTACCATACAACCAATGTTTCATATCTATTAGGTTTTAGTAACTTAAAATTCGTTAAAATTATAATTTAAAGCACCCAATATTTTTAAATTTTTCCGTGTAGCAAGAAAGGTTTTGCTAATAACGGATTAATTATAATGTATCAGGACAGTGGGTTGTAACTGAGAATCTAGATAGCAATATAGCATCGTGGAATTCAATTGTCCGATTACGCTTGGTACACAAGGCGGAATCTGTGTGTACATGCCTCCGCCATTGGTTTAGAACGGAGACAGGAACCTAAATTGTGTTATCTCACAGAATTGATATTTTAAATTAACCAGCTGAGAGAATTGAATTCGCTAGCCACCACCGATCTATACTCAAGAGATTTACGCCAGCTGCAACATAATTATCCAATGTACTTGTGAGTTTCAATATCTAATTTTAGATGTTCATAGTTATTGTATAGTATTGATATTAAACACAGCATTCTGAAGAATTATTAGAATTGGTATTATAATTTATTGTTTAATATAGAAGAAATTTAGTCTGTTTACAACATTTTAATAAATGTCAACGCAGCCACAAAACAAAGCTTAATATATGGTGTATACGGTACATTTTAACGCGATGATTATTTGTAGACCAAATTTCAAACATGCCTGACATTGTAATTAATCAAGGATTAATTTAATTATACGTGGTACCTTTTTTACCCATTTCTATTATTACAAACTAACATTGTTACACTTAAAACAATATGATTTGAATTTAGTAAAAAAAGATAATAAAATTTATTTTATCTATGTATATTATTATGAGATAGTAAGATTTAATTAATTTCAAACTTTGGGGGTGGCCTTGTCAAGGTAATCGCATTGCCTGCATAATCGCGTAACTAGCTTACAACTTTCGAAGTTGTAGCTAGAAACTAAAAGCTAAGAAGACGCTTACCGTACATGACATTTAATTGGGGGAAGACTCTGAGTTTAGAATTTACCTAAGAATTCTTAGAATGCATTAATAAACTTAGACAATATACTATTTATTACCCCAATATCAGTAAATTGGCGAATTGGATAAAGATCCAATACTGATTTTATGGTTTATATGTACGGGCAATATGCGTTCCACAAATAATAGAATGCTATTTCACAGATCGTTTTAGTTTTATCGTCTGCACAGTAATCCATGTAAAGTCGTAAACTGAAATTTTAGGATGGCAACTTCATCACTTTAAATTTTTTAACCTGTGGTAAGCGGCCAGGTACACTGCTCGGCGAAATTCGGCATGAATCCAACAATTTTAACACGCAATTCAGCTGTAATTCGTGACTGATTACGACATAGTTAACCAGAACTTGGAATAGCTAATCCGCGTTATTTATAAAAAAACTGAAGTGTGTTCGAGATCGATATGGTAGGTATCCACAAAGCAAAAGGCTTCTGGTCTTTAGAAGACTTCTCTTACATGCAATGATATGAATGTTTGCTCCTCTACAATTGGCTGATATACATGAGCAACGAGTTCTCTTCTTTGACCCTTCTGTCTCATTACGAATATCTTTTAATGTGAACATCATCCTATTCAAGTATTTCCTTAGCAACAACAATTTCTTTTATTTTCGGTGTTGTGGATGTGCAGGTATCTACTGCTTTTTCTATACAAGTTGTAGTGTTGACCATAATGTGTTGGGGTCGTCAGAGTATTCTGGTTTTGACATTGTTTCTTGCTGATTTTATAGTTGCTCCGTCGTTGGCGCATTCATTCTTTTGTTTGGACTTTGCTTTTTGGACGTTTATACTTTTAGAACTAACATTGTTAGTAGGAGATTATGGCCCGAACCACATACTGCACATGATTTTATTTCAGCATGTTCTTCCTCTGTTTCAGATCAATGTATATTCAATTTAATTGTTCTGTTTACTATCTGGGCAAATCAAGTGTTAATAATTATCGTGGGTGGTGCACTCCTCCACCATTTTGATCTTTTTTGTTCACTTCTTGTTTAGTCGCGTCCGTTGTTAACAAATTGGATGATATGTAAGTTTCTTGGATTAACATTAAGGGTTTCATACTCAATTATTCTGTCGCTTATCGTGTCGTATGCACTATTTTTATCAAGATATTTATTAAAGGAAATCAAATCAATCATATTTTAATTAACAAAGCGATATAATTTAACATGATCTTATAAAATGATCTGAAAGAATGAAATAAATGTGTTCCTTTAGGAGAAAGGAATGGAGAGAGATAACTCACGTGATATAGAACTCATATTGCGTGCTGGTATGAATTAAGTGCGGTTTCAACGTTTCATTATTTATTGCGCTTCCTATATTAGTGCCGCATTCTCTAATGGTAATATTCGTAAATTTAGGACGACGTGGCACCTTAACCTGTTAGCCACGCCATTCTTAGGCCGAGTACCTTTATGTAACATGTTTTTATTTTATAAAACATTTTATCTGACCTCTTTGGGCTAAGGAACACCGCAACATATATCTTTGCCACGGTAATAATACATTTGTGGGAATATATTGTGCTTTTGTTCGTTAGCCCGTGGTAAGCTCAATTGCTTCGAGGAAATCACGCAATGGCTATTAGGATAAGACGCACAACTTGTACACAATGCTACTTGGTTTATTTCGTTTATATTAAAACGATGTCATAAAATATTCAAAATCATGATAAAGGTGCGTAAGGTTTTAATGAAGGGTAAAGGAGGTAATTAGTAGAATTTAAAAAAGTGTTTGAAATAAATCTTTTCAGAGTTATGCAAAAAGAGCTTAAACCTTATTATTTAGTTTTCGGTTCTTAACAATAATGGTAAGTGTAGCTAGTTGTAGTGAAAGCTGAAAAGAAGTTCGTAGAGTAGGCGTTTATCTCAAAAGCTCTAGTGCCAAGGTAACTCTTGGTTACGTGGGCGACTGCTCGCAGCTTTTTAATCTTTTGTAATATTAAACCGCGTTAGATGGAGTGGGTCCGTAACAAAGGCTAGACAACGGAGTGCAGGCCTTAGCGAGATGACACTTCAATTAATACGTTTCGCGGTATATAGCAGTGCGGTGGTGCTTCACTCGGCTTTGTATAAATGTCAAATGACGGTGGAATTCTCTTACCCTGTTAAAGGTAACAGCTACCGCTCGACCTGCTTACATTTCAAAAGAATATTGCAGTTGAAATAAATCTCTATTTGATAACACTAATATTTACTTATGAGTGATTTATAATGGGGTGTGTCTCGGACAACTCGTCAGTTCGTTGCTTGGTGAATCTGGCGTCCTAAAACGATTATTTATGGAGTGTCCATGAAGATGATTTTACGGTCGCCAGGCTCAGCACATGTGATTTACGATTGAGTGTGCCGCTCACCGTGTTAACCGAGCACGCGTGCTCGACCAATGATCGCTCTTGCTACAGAAGAGTTATAACCACGATCGCACCGGTATGTGTTATGAGTATGCAGATCGTATGCCCAGATTACAACAGAATTTATGCGAATCCCCTATCAGGAGTGATGCATTAATTGCCACTAAAATATTATCGTCAAGGTGATGTATGTTAAACACCGGCGGAAACGGGAAATTTACAAATTCAATAACGCTTAACCGGAGCTCTACATTGCAAATCAAGATAAGATAATGATTCATTTAGAATTGTAAATAATTGTAAATTGGTGGATGCGCCGGAAACACATACTTATTTCATACATAAATGAATAATTTCATTTAAATAAAGGGTAACAACGAATCTGATAAAGCAAATGCGCTGTTCCCATTTTTGAAACGTGATCGTTAATAATTGAGGTGTTAAACGTAAAGTATAGGTGAGTGGGAATTTAATAACGTGCATCGTGTTGCTTCTGACATCCGCACTCCACACTTTTACTTCGCTAATTCCGTCCGCTTTCACGTGTTCGCAGGCATGGAACGTATCGTTGATGGCGTCGCCTTGATTAATGTCTAATCGATAAACAGGCGGACTTAAATCAATGTTTATTTGCGACCCGATCGACCGTACCGCTTCCACCTCGAAGTACACAGTACGTTAAACGTGTTGTACGATGCACGTACGTATATCATGATTTCATAGGTAATCATCGCTTCGAACGACTTGTTTCGATAAGATCGTTATGGCCTCAGCGGTTATTATGTGACAAGAAATAAAACCATACACATAGAAACATTGATATCATATATATAGGTCAAAGATAATGGTGATACTTGCATATACAATCGGTAAAGTCGAGTATAATGATTATGAACGCCATTTGCTCATTTAATTAGCAATAAAATTAGCGCTAGCTTCATAAAGGAAGGTGGAACGTTTAATTAAACATATAATTAACCCTGTAAGTTACCCTGAAGTTACCGCCGTAAATTCCGCTTAAGTACGTAAATTAAAACACCGTGTCGCTAGATTGAATAACGAAACAATATCGCGCTTTTTGCTGAAAAAAGAAACATGACCGGGCATTCGTACCGTTATTTTAAGCGGCTTAAAGCGTAAATAATTAAAGTACTTAATTTAACTTGTCGCACTCGACACGACAAACGGACGTTGTTAAATATTAGGAAAGTGAAGTGGGAAACCCCGGACGCCATT